GCTCGGCCTATGTCGTATAGTCCAGCAGTTCCATCTTCTGACCAGTCGCTAATGAATTAAGTTTATCGGCCATTGCGACTCCTAAGCACGGCCGGCAAGGCATCCTGGGCCTGGTTTAGTGATGCATGGAAATCAGCTTGGTGACTAAATCACTAATCACTAAATCTTCGAAATCTCCCTCTCAAAGCTCCACAAGCGGTTCTGAAGGGGCCAATTAGCCGCACAATACTTTTAGCCACAAAACCTTTTCGAGTGCAGTAAACTTTTGCACATGAATATTGCATTTTGTTGCTTATGTGCTCAAATAAAAATCATCCTTATCTACATCTATATTTTTGCAGCTCACCAAATTTCATTGTCCACTGAAGCAGTCATACCTCTGGCCGAGAAGTCTGGTGGAATGATTTCCCAGTATCGCTGAGATTTCGGGATGCCCAAATGGGGCTCAAACGTTTGGACTGGTACTTTGAATGCTAATACTCGGTTGCTCCGCACCAGCAGTGACACACCAAAGCCTTTGAAATATCCAATTCCGCTGTGCGAATACTGTAAACCGTCCCTGGATCACACACGGCGAGCGCTGAATGCGCGGTACGTTCCAAATTGTTTTGGTTTTTCGCTCGTGCGAATTTTCGGATGTGCTGGCTCCCTGTTTGATTTAGTTACGGGGTTGAAATTTTCATTCTAACATAGCCTTCGCGTGGAAGCCTCTGTCGGCTTGCACCTTGTTCCTGCGGTGTACCTAATCTCAATCTGAGCCAGATCAATGCGTGTTTCTGCAGATGTCAATGAAGCACAACATATGTGGGCGAAATGGGCGTCAGTCAAATGTACGACGTGGTGTGAGATGTCATAAATGCAAAGCCTTGTGGCACTTTGAATGCACAGGGCAACCAGATATGCCAGTTATCTTACTCCACTGTCGCATCTGCCTTCGCCAGTTTCCCCTGCTTCAAGGGTGTAATGCACTCCGCAACTAAAAAGGGAGCTACCAAGAAACAAAATCAAGGGCTGATGCTGTTACCAGAACCTCGTACACAACTCGTTAGTTCCTCAAATACCAATTGGACCTGCACGATAAACACCTCATTTTCGACTGTATGGTGATACATAGTCGCTGAATGGCGCTTTATGTATCAATAATTTGTCAACAACACTCATCAAGCGCACGTAGAGACCGTGTAAGTCGCCAAGGATTTTATTTAAAAGACGCTACACCTTGGGAAAAGACGGAGGATGACTGGAACAAACACTTAAAAACGCTGTTGCAGTGCATATAAACCAGATTAAGGTTCTGTTTATCATTAAAATTCTACTGAACCTTACATGAGCTCCCCATAGGTCACAAAAAATAGTGATGTATGAAACTAAGTCTCCACTGCTGAATCAGCAAGACCATTGCGAATTTTACGTTTTAATCGGGACACTCGACGCATTTGGAAAAGCAAACAAAGAACCAAGCGGTCTGGACAAAAGTCAATAATGGAATCCCTTCATTGAATGAGTACCTAGCACTGTGCGTCCCAGGTCCGCTGGCTGTAAAAGAGGATCATGAAGCTCTCCGGTGTGACAATTTAAGATTCCTAAGGCGTCTTTAGTGGACAGGCGCACGAGGGAGAGCAGTCTGGTCATCTGGGGATCGTTCTCCAAAGAAATCACGTCAACGAAACTGGTACGGTCGCTCCTTGTCGATCTCCTGATAAAGCCTGGGAAAAAGTTGATTGTTCAGATGTAGCATCCTTTCGGTGCCTAGCTGCCACGCCACACGAAGGAGGTACAAGGGCTGGGATACTGCCAGGTAGCCCAAGCCTAGAGAGGGGAAGTCGAGAAGCAGAGGTCGGTTTCGAACCACGGACGTTCCCGTCAGTAAATTCGCGCTCTAACCACTTGGACCATCTCGCCCATAAAGCATGAACACGGATTGCTTCACGCAGATTGGTTACGCGTAAAGAACGCAATCGAACCTTTGGGCATCTAGTCAGCCTTGTCCCGCCTCCTGCCGTAAAGAAGATGCTGGTTAGCATTTAGAAGGCTTACCCAACAATCAAACGTATATCTTAGGATCGCCCTTTGGAGGCGCGGAATTTGGGACCCAGAATTCCCAGAGAAGAGGCACGAAACAGGCTCCAGCGTGGCTCAGGTTCAGCTAACCCCAGCTGGCTAAAACCGTGGTAATTATAGCCCCTTGTGCTCTGGAGTTGGCAAGCATCACGTGGACGCAGCTTCCAAAGTATGTAGAGCCATCATCGCTTATTCCCGTGGCAGACGCTAAAGGCTTGGCAGTAAACTGCACACACAAGTCACTGCTTCTGAGGTGGATTGGGCCAGCTGTGAGGAGGCAAGTGGCGAAGCCTACTTACAAATTAACGACAAGCGTTGACCTCGACATCGGGGAATGCCCTGAGAACCCTACAACTACTAAGAGTGTGAAACTGCCAGTCTCCAGTTTCACTCCGTCAAAAGTGGCCTCTCCGGTTTTGGACACAGTCGACCCCATGACCTGACAGCCTAAGCCAAAAACCCGACAAAACGAACCGGAAAATCCCTCGTACACCCAGTTGGCCACGTTGATCACGGAAGACTCGGGAGTCCACACGAACACGAAAGAAAAGCGACTGCAGTCAAACAGGCATGGACTTCGTCAAACCAGAGAGCTGTTTGCTAGCTTCAACGAGCCTCATGGGGAGCGCCACCAAAAGGAATGGTTCTTACTGTTGCCACCCAACGCACAGGGCCTCACAGAGACACCTTATGAATCAAACCGCGCCAAAGTGCCCAAGAAACCAAACAAATGCATGTTTGCCCTAAACCAGTGGACAACAACAAACTTAATCGTCCAAAAGACGATATTCAACGAGCTGCAAGTAGCAACTGTCGAAGTTTTCGCTTACGAGGGGAGAAGTTACCTCCCCCAAAAGTAAAATGCCTGCGCAAACCGGACTCCCACGAGGCGGAAAATCTTACTGTTGCCAACGCACAGGGCCTCACAGAGACACCTTATGAATCAAACCGCGCCAAAGTGCCCAAGAAACCAAACAAATGCATGTTTGCCCTAAACCAGTGGACAACAACAAACTTAATCGTCCAAAAGACGATATTCAACGAGCTGCAAGTAGCAACTGTCGAAGTTTTCGCTTACGAGGGGAGAAGTTACCTCCCCCAAAAGTAAAATGCCTGCGCAAACCGGACTCCCACGAGGCGGAAAAACCCTGCAAATGAAAAGCAGCTACTGAAACCACCAAAGCAAGAAGCAGACTAGTATGCGGTAGAAGTCCCTTCGGCGCTTTGGACTGAAACCCGGTGTACAGCTATTAAATCTTCTAACATCTCTGACATCACACCTCTCGGCCTCCCGCCTTCGGAGGCAGCAGAGAGTGTTGAAATTCTCCTCCTCCTCCTCCTTATCGTCATCATCATATTCAGCTGTAAGAACCGCGTACTTGACTCGGAGATCTTGATAGGTGACTGCTCTATTTTTCGAGCTGGTTCAAAGCGCGGAAGGTCTTGTGGGGTTGCTTTATATTAACATTCGGCCATGCCCATACCGATTGTCCCCTCCGAGACCACTCCTGAACGTTTTTACGATGCACTTTGGATCCGATTCTCTTCTCGGTGTGGTCTACCGTTGACTCTCGGGTGCTCCTTGATACGCCAGTATATGTTCTGTTGGAAACCATCCACATTGGGACTAACTGAACCTGAACTTGAGGCTGATCATCAACCGACAGTTGTATCTGTGGTGTTTTTCGATTAATGTGCAAATACTCCGTGTTCTACACTTTTTGATTGACAACTTTAAGCTACGTCTTTTATAGTATGGTGAATTTTGAGATGAACGGAGATTACACTGATATTGTTTCAAACAGGGATACGAAGCCAGGCAAGAAATAAAAAACAATTTTAACAGAAACATTCACACCACCCGGTAATTCAAGCGAAATGTTTCTAAACTGTTGCCGAAGCTTGTTCAGCGCGGGCTACAGCAGATATAATTCGGTCGAAGACTGTTGAGTATCTGGTCAGGATTCTGGATGCTCTTGTGCTTTCCCCTGTCCGAATGGATTGAAATCAGTTCAAAGTGAGTCTTACTCTCTGAGAGAGGAAAAGGAACTGCTTTCCTCGCAGTGGTTTCTCTTTTGGAGCCTGATGTGATCGACGGCTACTTCAGGATCAGGCTTGAGATGTCTTCTTATGCTTCTCCGGGGATGTCGAGATATCAGAATATAACTCAAATAATGTATGTAAAACTCTTTTACCGTTTTGGAAACCAGCACTTCAGACAGAAGACAATGAGCTTACTCTTCCCGTCAGCGCAAAGCGGAACCTAGTGGGAACAGCGTGTGAAAGATTCAAAAGCTTGTCGTTGAGTCTGTGGAGCCTAACGCCATTCTTAGCTTCACAATGAAGTTCTGAATTAGGATTGCTCTTCACGCCATCATCGATCAAGCACTTGGTGAGTAATGGGCCAGACAAGTTCCGACGCCTAATTAAAAGGTATCCAATGAGGATGGAACCTTGATCATGCAAATATGACTACCCGATATCGTCTACTCAGTTAGCTTGCCGCAGACAACGCGCTAACTGCGCTGACTAGTGCTTATAGTGCCATGTTGACTACGGCCTCACCAAGAGCACGAGAGAGTTGGAGACTGAAAACGCAGACCAGTGAACAACGGTTCAGGCGCGCAAAATTATTCACTGCCTGGTGAACTTGGTTCGCCTCTTTCGAACGAGAACCTAAGGAATAAGCTTGTTTGGCTAATAACACACACTGGGACTAATGGGGTGCTTTCGTGACTTCAGCATCGCCCAATATTTATTCATCACTAAGGTTGTCTGGACACTTTACTTTTGCTTTACTCTTTTACCTGGCTCTCATTATTACTTGCTAATTCGCGGATTAGAGTCATGCGCAACGAAGTTGCCTCAAAGCAAGCTTTTGCCCTTGGTTTCCGTTACTTCAACTAGAGGTTTCCTCTTACATTACAGCCATTCCTGAAGCTTCGCTGGCTTCAGCTCCCCATCTGAACCTTTTCCACCCCGAACATCTCTGGTTCATGGTTTCCTGACACAACGCATTTATCTTTCGGTGAAAAAGGATGAAAAACGGGCATCAGGATGGCGGGGTCATTCAAGATCCCCTTGGCACCTGTTCACGGATATACGAGCCTGATGGAACGCCATGTGTTGGTTATTTGCATGTTTTTTAATTACCTCTCGCAGGAAATCAAAGGATACACACCGAGTTTGATAAAGAAGATTATCGTGTACATATCTTACTTTCTTACCTGTGGATTACTGCGATTAGTCTTTCACTGGATGCCACAATGGATGCTCAAGTGTACGCATAGTTTGTGTCCCCTACCCGATGCACAGAAGGTGCTAATCAAAGTAAGTCTTTTTCAGTGTAAAATGCATTGAGTCTTCTCTTCTGCTTCTGATATTAGGGTTATACATAGAGACTAGTTCGCTACAAATTACCGTGATTCTTTGCACAGTATAACGGGATTCCATGATGCATGTAGTTTCGAGCTGTAATCTCAAAGTTTTTCCGTCGCCGACCTGAGCGTTAATACATGGCAAGACATCTTATAGTGAAATCGATATTGAGCTCATCGGTTACAATCATCTCCCGTTTTGTATTATTCACTAATAATGCGGCTTATAGTGTGAATACTGAAATAAACATGTATCTAGTAGGTAAGGAAATGGATTGATTATGGGGATACCATTCGTGCCATCATCATCATCTCCAGCCACGCACAGACGGGGTCACGGGGCCCCATCCTGGAAGGTGTACAACACCAGCAGCACTCAAACTCTTCGTGCTCTCTTTCACGCACTTCTGCCAAGTCATGTGCTTTCCACCTCGCGGTTTGCGCGATCCTGAAGGAGGCATGGAAAACAACACTCGTCTCGGTAGACGGTGTTTCGGCATGTGTAGCACATGACCGAGCCATCGTAGTCGACGATGCTGGTTGTTTTCTTCGAAGTGAAGTGCCTGCAGCACAACCAAATACCCGTTTTCTAATCACCTCGTTACTAACACGCTGACGACATCCATAACCAGTCACGCTTCTGATGCATCAGCGGTCGGATGATGCGCCGGGTGGAGTTGTGGTAGCGCCCAGGTGGAATCTGTCGCCGGGTCTCCAGCAAAGACACGGTCCTATCAGAGATCCAATCCTTGGATGAGGTTGGCTGGGTTGTACTGCAAGCAGACATCCTGGCTTTGAGTAACGCTTTGGTTATTTGACACCGTACCACCGGTGTCGGATAATTGACGGCGATGTGGTCTATTTGGATTTGACGTTGGTCTGTTGGTGGGCACTACGTTGTCAGGCGATTTCCGCTGTTCCGGAAATTCTTACTGCAGAGAAACAGTGTGTGATCGGCACAAATCTGAAGTAAGCGGTCTCCGTTGTCCGTGCCTCTCGTGTCCAAACCAAGACGACCACCCATTCGGGCCTCAGGAGCGCGTAGTCTACCTGCCTGGGTGTTCATATCACCAGCAACCACAGCGATATCTGAGCTTTTAGCCTGTTGTAGAAGGGCACCCATAATGTCGTAGAAACTGTTCTTGGCAGATTCAGAGCTACAGTCAGTTGGGGCGTAAGCAGAAACAATAAACAAGGTGCGATGAACCTCACTTCCTCTAGGTTCTCTCACCGATGTTGCCAAACGAACCGCACAGAGGCGACTGTCAACGGGTATCCAAGGAGAGACGCTTCCGCTCGTTCGCTCAATACAGTATTTACTCCAGCATATCCAGCTGCAGCGGCCTCTGCATCACCAGAGGTGCGCAGCCGGAACCTGGAAGAGAGCGAGGGGCAGTCAGTTTGATCACAGTACTTGCGTCCTGCGTCCTTGGTTCTGACAAACAACATCTATCAACGGAGAGGAAATCCAGTGTACGCGCAAGAGCCACCTGTTGACCTGTTTGCTTCAGTGGCTAAGCAGGTTTTCGACGTTGGGAAACAGACTTCGAAGTGCTTAGATTTGTGGCTGAACTCAGACGTGATGAGCGTGATGCAGGGCGAGCAAAACGGCCCGTCCTAGAGCTGGGACCTGCGGAGAAAGTATTCAGATTTGGGCAGGGGAGGGCGGAAGACGGAAAACGTGAATGTGTAAGAAGGGAGGCGTCAGCAGTAGCATGTTTTCGCTTACCCGCCCTGCTGTATGCAGCAAGTAAGGCGACCCGGTTGATGGCACCACGCGACGGCCGATGTGGCATGAGAATATTGTTAGTTGTGTAGGCCATGGTTGTACGAGGGCTGGGATATTGCCAGGGCGCCCACACCTAGACAGGAGGACGATTAGGGTCCTCAACCAATGCCTTTGGCTCAAAAGCCTAACCGCAAGGCAGCGGTCTTTGGCGGGGAAATGCAAATGCATTACCTTTTCTACGGAACAAGTCGCCATACATGTTCCAACCCCCAACCTGGAGTACCAGGAGACTGTGTTCGTCAGACCTCTAACCACTGACCAACCTGGTATGAGAGACTCTGAGTGTCGCGCGGACACCCCTCAGTATAGCTCAATGGGTCGCCAAGGTACACAAACCGGCACACCACGGTGAGGTCCAATTCCTTCACGACGGCCATTCGTGCCACCAAAGATGAAGTTTGTGGAAGCTGAAGGGCCATGGTTGCAATGCATCTATGAGAGTATTCGTAATCTGTGGTTGTGATAACAGGACCCTTCAATCCGGAGACTTCAAGTGGATTCAGTTGTTCGATAATCGATACCTTCATAGTATGGCAGGCGTTAGCTGGCTGCGGCGTGTTCTTAGTGAAGTGTAAACGTAACTTACGAAGCAGAATCACTGGAGACGCAAATAAAATTCATTAGGTCAACGTAGTTTGGACATGTACTACGCATATTTGGCCGCCATACACCAAAGAAAGCACTATTTCGCACTCCGAACTTGTTGGAGAAAGGTTCGCATGGAACAGGTCATGGCTTGACAACACAAAGTCAAGGCGACTGCCTTTCAGACTGAGTGTTATGGAATCCCTGAATCAATCCGATTGGGTTCCGCGTGATTCTCGTTACACTTGTTCGGAAACCCTACGGGACAGTGCATGTAACCAGTCATATTGTCGGGTATACCGCAGTCCTGTGTGCTTAAAGTATGTCTGTCGTTTTCTGAGCTCATGTTTATTGGGGTTCGCAGTACACGTTGGTCAATCCCACTGATGGCGTCTCGCTCCAATGCGCCGCTGGGGTGTGTTTGTCTCGTTGTTCTAAGGTGTTGTTTTCCATAAGAACGTAAAACTGTTTGTACTGAGTCCCCACCATTCCCCTTTTCCTGCTTTACTAGGGCGTCTCTCCTCACAGTTGTCATTAACGGTGTATGTCTATCGGCAAGGATGATAATGACTTCACTAACAGCCACTTCTTGGCAACATTTTGTTGGATGAAGATGCTACCAACTATGACACTATGTTGACGGTTGCACAACCGTAAGGTCCTCATATACATTCGGCTTTAATTCATGTCATACGGGTTTTGCACGTGAATATCCCGTGCTGAATAACATTTGCACACTGACTAGGGATAACACTAGGGTAACAATACTACGTATCTTTTCTGCCATACTAGAGGTGCAATTGTGTTTTCGAAATGGTCGCTCTAGTGCCGTGTCCTTAAGGCGCTGTGCGCCAACTCCCTCGAAATTGTGAGGTCTGCGGGAAGCTCTCGCCAGAGTTCACCACATCAAGTGGTGTCAGGCAGGCTGTCCACTTTCACCATTCTTCAATTTCATCATTGACACGGTTATGGAAAACTCACTCCCAACCTCTAGTGCCCATGGGCTCGAAGTTCTTCCGGGGCGCCCACTCACAGATATCGAGTACGCAGACGACATAGCTCTTCTTGGATGTGACCTCGTGGTAATGCAAACAATACTGATCAATCTAAACGATTCTGTCTCACAGTTTGGTATGCGCTTCACATCTGAAAAGTGTAAAGTTCTAGTGCAAGACTTGGTAGGCTTGAACCCTAGCCTCATACTTGAGGGTGAGCCGCTTGAGGTAGTAGACAAGTTTGTCTACCTGAGTGGCTGTATCAGCCCTGGTAGTCTCAAAAAAATCATTCAGCTGTAGCACCCTTTCGGTGCCTAGTTGCCATCCCATGCTGGGATACCGCTAGGTTGCCCAGGCCTAGACAGGAGACGTCGAGAGGAGGAGGTCAGGTTCGAACCACGGACCTTCCGGTCAGTAAATTCGCGCTCTAACCACTTGGACTATCTCGCCCTGGTAGTCTAGCGAAAGATGATATTTCCATCCGGATTGGAAAAGCCAGAGCAGCTTTTGTGAACACTCATCACCCGTGACGTAGGCGTGACATCAGCTTATCCGTCAGAGGTCGAGTTTACAATGCTGCGGTACGTTCCATGCTACCAGGCGGATCAGAAACCTGGCCGCTGCGCGCTGAGGACTTCAAAAGAATTTCAGTGTTTGACCATGGATGTCTTCGGAGCATTGCGCGAGTCTGGTAGGAACACCGGATAAGCAGTGCTGAAGTACGTCGAATGGTATTCGGAAAAAATAACTCATCCTCGATAGATGAACTGATCACACTGCATAGTTTGCGATGGTTTGGCCACGCCTCGTATTTCAGTCGACCGACTTCCTCGAGGGGTTATTTTCGCCAATACCAGCAAACTCAGTTTCGGTGGTTGTTACCGTCTCCCTGAATAGAGACCCCGAGACGGACCACATCAATGGTTTAGTCGCGCCCTCAATGGAGCTCGTATATCCAGGCTATTACCCTCAATGCATAGCTCCCTTTCCAATCCCCCCACTTGAAAGTCCACTGACAGATGTATATTTACGCACCAATTTATCAGCTCCTGCCTCCAATGCGCAGCTACCTGCTCCACCTCACCACAATCTTTCAGCTGTAGCACCCTTTCAGTGCCTAAATGACGCGCCACCAGAAGGAAGCACGAGGGCTGGGATACTGCCAGGTTTCCGTCTCGAAGAGCAAGTCGAGAGGCAGAGGTCGGGTTCTAACCACGTACTTTCTGGTCACTAACTTCGCGCTCTAAACACTGAGGCATCTCAACCTACCTTCCCAAATCATCGATGGACGTAATTATAGCAGATACAACCACTGTACGACAAGTGCAGCCGATAATAATGATGATGATGATGAGTCATTGCAATCGCGTTAACTGGAAAGACATCCGGCAGAGGGTGTATTACACACGTTATTACAATGACCCATATGAGAACTCCGCTGTTTGTGGCGGCTCGTACACACGGGCTTTTGCAGTTTTTTTAGCCATAGTAGTTTTGTAGCAGTCCGTTGGCTTAGTGAAAGTTTTTCTCGCCCACTTTAGATCAGTCAAGATCGATGAAAAGCATTCGTCTGGGTTTATCAAATCCTGTAGTATCAAACAGGGCTAACTCCTCTCCGTGTCATCAATATGTTTATGCAGCAATTTACCCCCCTGCAATGTCAGGGGAATCTAAATGCTTTCATGAGGTTTAACACATCAATAATACTCCTTCCAGAGACGGTGTAAGTGTACACGAGGCGTTTCGACTTTATTCGTTGGTGAGCCTGGTGTCGTCAGTTACTAATCAACAACATATCCATGTCTGAATCCTGAAAATCACTACGTGCTGTTCGTAAACCGATGCTATTTAGGGGTTGTGTATGGTTCTAGGGGTCACTAAAGGGAACTATGACAATTACTCAGTATCTTGATATCCAGTAGATTCACTCCATCGGGTGTGCCGCCCGTGTTTTAAACATTGACCCCGTGTTTTGTTAGAATTCTAGTGTCAATGCATTTCAGATATTTTTGATTTGTATGTTGTATTTAACATTGTTAATATGCATACCTAATTGCGTTGGCAGGATTCTTCCGGTGTTTATTTCGTTCTTCGTGTACTCGCATCCGTTATCGAAGATGAGGGGTATGTTTTCAGTTCAACTGTGATCACTCGACACTTCAGGGAGATGATGGTGAGGACACACACAGTCCCTATCAACAAAGTAGCACCTGACTGCTCGAGTTCCATGGACAAGGTATTTTTTTGCATTAATCCTAACAAGTTTCTCGAGGATCCGAACATTACCATCTACTTCTTTTATAAGAAACTGAAATATATTTGGGATCGGGACCTCTGTCAGTTCAATCTACTCAGGTAATGTGTGCACTATATTCAGGTTGTCAGCAACTATACCCGGACTTTATAACTTTAACAGATGATTTTGTTGGTTTGTTGTATCTTGCAATGAGTTTAATCTTACCCAATATACCGGAACGAAAAATGCTACGTCCATGGATGTTATGCGACACAAGTCGTTATTTCTTATATAGATCGTCTACGTAGATAGGCGTGATTTCTATGTATATAAAAAAAGCGCTCAGCTGTAGCCCCCTTTCGGTGCCTAGCTGCCATGCCACTCGAAGGAAGTACGAGGGCTGGGATACTGCCAGGTTGCCCAAGCCTAGACAGGGGAAGTCGAGTGGCGCAGGTCGGATTCGAACCGCGGACCTTCCGGTCAGTAAATTCTCGCTCTAACCACTTGGGCCATCTCGCCCATATATATATATATATATATATATCAAAAATTAGCTTTGTTCATTTTATGGAACCAGTTCGATTAGTCAGGAATTACAGGGTCTCCATCAGCAGTAACAGCAGTAGTATACCACGGGCTACCAGTTAAAGAAAGAAGGCCTTCGCCTCGGGTTTGCTTATCAGAGAAACACCAACCAAACAGTTACACTATTGGACAGGGGAGCAAAATTCTCATATGCATCTTGTTTACAAAACTGAATATCCATCTTCTCCTTGAACGTGTCTTCCTGAACTTACATGGATATTCACCGACTGTTAATCAAATGCTACAAAGCCACTCCACAAATTCCGTAGGAGATCTCACTTTTTAAGAGACGCGAAGCGGATTTACGAGAAAACATACTACTCGCATGCGCCATCAGTAGTACCCACCGTACGCCAGTAATGACGGCCTTATTGAAGACATGAAAAAACGTAGGACTTCAACGAAACTCAACGAGATCAACATAATTTTGCGTCTGATACCCTGTGCCTCTGATGTTGCACATAGCACGGCATTCAGGTGTTGAAGAAGCGGTTCGAAGTGGAAAATTCCTTTGCCTTTTCTGGAGGGATTGCACGGTAGATTGTGTAGGACGAGATGGCTCAGTGGCTAGAGTGTGAATTCACTGATCGAAAGGTCCGTCTTTCGAACCCGATCTCTGCCTCTCGATTTCCCTTGTCTAGGCTTGGGGAACCTGGGAGTATCTTAGTCCTCGTGCTTCCTTCAGTTGGCACCGAAAGGGTGTTACAGCTGAATGATGATAGACTGCTTGCTCTAGACCCTGTGTTGGGGCTATTTCTCTCCGAGCAACCCATCCTAAGAAGATCACTGTAGCCGGGTTTACATAGCAAATGTCATCTTGTTTTGCATGTGACCTATAGGCTTCCGCACAACCCGTTTCAGTGCGACAAACGACGCAAATTTTACCACCGATAATGCAGCTTTTAATGCACGGCCTACAACCTTCAGGCTATCTGTCTTAGAGTTCGGTGGAAATTTAAGCGTGCGATTCAAGTTTGCAAAGCACACTGAAACAACGAAAATATCCTTGAAGTGTATAAATAATCCCGTTTCCTTGCGAGACAGTATTGCTCACATGGTCAGGATCCATCGGGATCCCCAGGTAGGATCCACATACTGTTTATCATTCGGCAGTAGCTTCTCAGATACCCAAATTTTCTCGGTGGTTGAAATTGGTGTAGAACAGCCACATATTGGTGGTATTTCGAGGCTCAGTTCAGTGTTGGAATGACCCGGTTTTTCCATTGTTCCAGAACTCAACAGGTAATGCCCTCATGTCAGCGTTCGTGATACTTTCATAAGGGATTGCCATATTCTCATGCAACTATCCACGTGGTCTAATTAGTCAGCTGAAGAAAACAATATTCCACTTTGTAGCTCGTAACAGAGCACAACTAGCTGAGAACCGGGAGGAATGACCCTGATGCAGTTGGAACTTAGGGATTAAGTTCAGTCACTGTAGACTAGTTGTGCCAAAAATGCTTCGTCCGCCAGAATAACTACTGCTTATCAAAACATCTTGGACTCAAACACACCAACACTGAATGGAGAGAAATAGTGATGACGCTCATCTATCATCAGAACGTTTTTTTCACAATTCATACTGAATGTGTCGTGACCCAAGTGTTATCAACAATGTGGACGGGGTATAGTAACAAATGTTCACTCTATGTCTCTTCGGGCAGATCCGATACTTCTCTAAGCGATGCATTCTCTTAGGGAGAAAAACGATTTTCTTTTTCACTGGCATTCTTCCAAAATACGATAAACAGCTTTTGAGTGGAGCTGTTCGTTGAATTAGGCAAACGAGGTGACGTGTCAAATAAGAATCTTGGGACACGCGCTTGGTTGTCTCATCTCCATCGATAACTAGTCTGGCACTTGTGTTTCACATCCGTTGACGTACATTTTCAGAGCAGCCGGCAAAACAACGACTGACTAATACTCCTTTATACGTTTGTATTTTCCTTATCACACTAGACATTGAGCACCACCCAACCACATGATGTAATATACCTATGTAACACACATCCTTTGCATCTCATTTAGCTGTAGCTTGCTACCCTGTAGCCTGTAATTCGCATGACATTCTTCGCGCTGCTGTGTTGCACGGACCAGCCTGCACGTCTTGAACCTCCCGAACATGTCGAGCATCGGTATCTGAGCATCGTACTACCATACTGAGGTCGCAATAGCTCATTGGTTAAGCAGTAAACTTACTGGCCGAAATGTCCATACCTTGAATCCAACCCCCGCACCTCGACTGCTAACTAGGCTTGGTTAACTTGGCATTATCTCAGCCGCTGTATTTCCTCCGGTTAGCATAGCAGCCTGGCACCTGAAGATGGAACGTCGTTTGAAAACTAATCTGGTTCTTCAACCGAATGTTCTGCGTTAAGACCATTTCGTGTTTCGGTTGGCCCGGTTTTCAGGATTTCACATCCTCCCGCAACTTTTGTTCTTTTGGGCAAGGTACTGAGCTGTAGAACAGTTCTGACTAGCCTTGAAATTATTAATACTGTCGAATGAAAAATGTTTGAAATCGGCCCACTTGAAACTTGCAGCGGCCTACAAGCAGCATATTCTGTCGAACAATACTACAAATGGAGGGTTCCGTGGAGATTCTTCTATGTGTCACACAAACACTGCATAGTGTGAAAATTATAGCTTAGTTTACCTTCTTACTTATTTGAGTGGCCTTTAGACTCGTAATCGCCGAAGCTGTTTGGGTCGATTCTGCCAGCTAATAATTCCGAATGGATCAACATTCTATGCCCATACATTACGTCCAGAGTTGATCCAGTCGGACAAAAGTTAGAGGCAGGGGACCAGTCAAGTTGCTTCCAAACGCATGAGGTTGTTGAAAACTTTTCGACAACTTTGTGAGTAGTATTTGCTGTGAGGGAAGTGTACTACGGATATTTTGTCGGTTGAATCATGAGGCGACCCCTGTAGATGCACCTTCGCATATAGTGTTTCTAATGTATTATACACTTCCGAAGAAACCTTAAAGACTAGTTTTCCTACGAAATATTCGCTCAGTTGATATCTTTCCTATTTTATAGTGAGTGGAATGGTTGTCCATATGCGAAGCTGTTCCCAGCAAGGCCGCTGCCCGAGCACATCGTTCTCAATCGTCGTGCGCTGTACGAACCCAACGAAATCGTTCTCCGAATTACCCCGATCATAAAATTGTTATTGACCAAGGTGAGTTGTAGCTGGTTGTAGCCTAGACGTTTACCGCTTTCTTTAGCGTAGTAATAAGACTGCCTGTTTGAATTTGCCGTCTGGGGACGAGTTCAAGTAGATAACCAATGAAAAATGCTAGCGTGCACTGGAGGGGATATCTGCTACCATTGGATTGTGAATCGATCGTTCATTGCATATGATTTGGCCTGGGTTGGAGAATCGCGGAGGGTATCTTCGCATCTTGAATAGCGGCTTGAATTTGTGTCCCTGTCAGGGTTACAGGTGTGACTAAATCCCTGATCATGGCCTTCGTACCCAACTGCCAAATCATCACCTAACCTCTCTTAATACGCTTCCGAAAATCACGGGTTTGACCTTGATGAACCCCTTGAGGACGCCTGTCTGCTGGCATTTATAGGCATCACCCAACCCAGTGCGCTCTAGGAAGTGTCCAGTTTGCCTATGTGGTATGAGTCGTTTTCTACGAAAACCACTGGACGTGTCTCAACATTGGCGGTCCGATGTTATCACCAGGCACAAACGACGCCTTGGAGGACGTCGATGCTCAAACATTGATAGCTTTACGCAATCTCTTGGTGATGCTCATAAGGTTTTTCATCCATGTGATAGCATGGGTACCCTTAACGTTGTGCGCTCTGCCGTCAACAGACAACAGAAGAAAACGTGATGGTAGGTGAGGTTGACGTGATGAATTGAAGTTTTATGTTGACTAGAAGGACGAAGTTTCCTCAATGTAAATGCCATTTTTTTACGATGATATCTTCACAGCATGGGAAATTAATGGATAGAGGTCTTATGAATGTAATGTAGCTTTTTAACTTTAGGTTTAAGCATGTGTAGCAATTCTTTATATGGGGAGTGGAATACAGAGTAAAGAAAGACTGGTCGTCATTTCAGTCCAGTTAATCGACCAATAATCATGTACCAAAGGTATGCTGCTTCCAGTAGCAACACTTTCCTTCACCACCACCACCATTTCTGTTTAATCGTTATCGTCATCATCCTCATCATAAACAGAGGAACAGCTGGAGCTGGAGCTTCTTGGCCGCACAATCTTTTAGGAAAGGGGTCCTAGTGAAAAGTGAGAACGGAGAGGAAGGATTGGAACTAGTGCCATAAACTTCACATCTTCAGGGGAGTGGTCAGAAAGACTTACCGAAACTGTAGAAGTAAAAACCTGAGCACCGTATTGAAGCATGACCTCAGCAGGACCGGCGTGGCATCTCTGAGAACTTCACTCAACACTAGTTCAGTGAACAATGACAAACAAACGTTAACAAAGTGGCCCGGCTAGAAAATGTCAGCAGGCTGGGCACGGGGATGGACTAAGTCCCATGTCGTGTAGGGAGGTCACGTGGATTTCACCTGGGAGGTGATGANCATGTCGTGGAGGGAGGTCACGTGGATTTCACCTGGGAGGTGATGGAAGATCCCAGGTACTCAACTGACACCAATCATCTCGGTGTCATGTTGCCACCTCGTTGTCTGTCTTATGGGAACGACCAACAAGAATTTGGTGTGAAAGGCACTGTTCTTCGATAGACATAGTGCACGCCCCAACCACACTGTTTACTACCCAAGGGATTCCGACTGTTGTTTTAGGGGTCATTTCAGTACGAATTGCTACACTCAGTTAATTTATGCAGTACTACGAAGACCTCAGTTGTCGTGTGTTTGTTGACGTTACAGGTCTTTAGGTCGGGGATGACATTTTTCGAAGTCATCATCATTGTCAGCTGTAATGACCGCCTACTCGTCGTACAGTAGTTGTAGCTACCACAGTTTCGTTCACCGATGATTTGGGGGTCGATAGCTGCGCATTGCAGGCGGAAGATGATACATTGGTTCATAAATCCAATACTGTCAGTGGGTTGTCAAGTGGGACGGGAGGTTGGAAAAGGAGCTGTGCATTGAAGGCAATAGCTTGGATGCACGAGCGCCACTGAGGGCGCGACTGGGCCATGTCTGACAATGTCTCTAGCCATTGATGTGGCTCGTCTCGGGGTCCCCATCCAGGAAGACGGCAGCGACCAGCGCAGCTGAGTTTGCTGTTAATGGCTTTTATACTTCCCTGCCAAGTGATTGTATGACCGCCTCTGGCTCCCTTCCACCCTTCACGTGGTTGAGCGGAAAAAGCCCTTCGAGAAAGTCGGTCGACTGACGTACGGGCACGTGACCAAACCAGCGCAAACTATGCAGTGTGATCAGTTCATCCATCGGGGGTGAGTCATTTCTCCCGAATACCATTTGACATACGTCAGCATTTCTGATCCGGTGTTCCCAGATTCGGGCAATGCTCCGAAGACATCAATGGCCAAACACTGAAAGTCTTTTGACGTCCTCAGCACGCAGCGGCCAGGTTTCTGATCCATATAGTAATATGGAGCGCACCGCAGCATTGTAAACTCGACCCTTGACAGAGGTGATGTCACGCCTGGGCCACAGGTGACGTAGGTTCACAAAAGCTGCTCTGGCCTTCCCAACCCGGATGGAAACATCATCTTTCGCCATAAACTAAAACCGTTTCTAACTGGAGTAAGACTACCTTCTGAGGGCGCAATGCACATCCTGAAGCAAGGAACTGCCTCTGATAGTTTTGGAACACGCATGTTCATCAATTACAAAACGCCGTTTCATAGTCTCCGTCCACTAAACTTTCGGTCTGTGTGATGTCGGTGCCCAGGTTCACGATACCTTAGTGAGTGTACTTTATGACGATTTCTGTGACATATTTCACTAAAAACAAACGAAACTAGCCCTGGTTAGCTCCACTGACTTTGAGGGTTTCATGACAGCTGAAATCATGGGACTAAGGGACACCAAGGATATCCACTAAGTTCAAGAGTTTTCCTTTTGGTCAAGTGTTTATTGAGTATTCAATCTACTCTCGAAGTCGAAAGTCGAGGAAGCCCACCTGTGTTGGTCGGGGTATGCGTAACGCTGCTCATTTTCTGCTTAATGTGAAAATGTCTTCAGTGTATCCCTTGCCCATCATCATGCTCCCAGGTTTTTGTCTTGCTTGAAGAATTTTTGGGCACACTGGCTGGCTGATCACACTTCGCCGAAACGCATTCTTCTGTTCGCAGTTGAGCCTAGGCAGACTAATCCGAGAAGAGCACAAGGGTCCATCGTCGTCTTTGAGCATTACCAGCAAGAACTTAGTTCACTCTGATATTGGGTCCCAGACGGGAAGGCGTATGAGTGCTTCAGAAATTGGGGGCTGATCTAAAATCAAATCACCCCTTTTCCGGTTTTAGTGCTTTCAATGAAAGACATGAGGTAACTGGCCAATCACTTTGTTGTTGGAACTTTTCGGCCTAGCAGTCACTCTGCTTATCCTTGTTGTATATTAACTTTCCAGTATTTCATTCGATAGCCTTACTGACATCCTGTTTCCTGGTTCCCGTTTTGTCTGTGAGCTGCAACAGTATCCGAATATTCTCAGTTGTACTGGCTTTCTCAATTTCCGGGTCTACCTCATCCGCACATAGACTAGGCCTGAGCTGACTCCTAACAGACCTGGCTGAATTCTTTTGTCTCCGAAGGCTTATAACGCCTCATCTAGAGGGGCGATAGTAACTGTTGTGAAATACAGTGTTCTTTTGGTGTGCAATCACATATCGTTTCCTGTAATGTGCGTAGCAGTGCGTGTTTGGCGCCCATTAAGGTTGGTTTCTCCTAAGGATGCAACTTTTTAGACTCCGCATAGGCTGCTTTGATAAGGTTGTTCAACTTGTGGGTCTATAAAGTTTTTCGATAGCTAGGTGAGGGGTTAATCGGGGAACTTTATCTAAAATTTACACCGGACTGGATTGTGGCCCGAATCGACGTGAATATTTCAGGACTAGGGTCCGGCCATTGGTGGCCAAAATACAGTAGCACTTGTCAGTACGCCTTTAGCTGAAACTAAACAGTCACCATGGCGCATTTCTGATGAGCTAGGATATTGCTTGTGTTGAGATTCTTGGTGGCAAGACATAGTCTAAACTCTTGCTGGACAGGAGAGTGGTCGATTCCAAGTAACACTCATCCTTGAGCAAATCAAAGAGACTAGTGGTTGGTATAATGAATTTGTTTTTTTGTTGATGGAAACGAGCGCGAAACATCAGATTCGAGTGGTGGAATGACATTAGTCACTTCCGTGGCTGGAAGGATGACATTCCTATATCGTTTGTTTACAGAAGAGTGATCGCCATATGGGATAGGGAGGAATTCAACAGACAGTGTCGAAGGAAGACTATATATGACAAAGCAGCAAAAGCAGGATTCGGACATCTGGGACGATGGGCTAACCGGTTGACAGATGTTGCACTGTACTAATTGTCTGAGGAAACAGTAATTTTGACAGGCTCTCGTTCACTGCGATAACCTTGACATGGATGCGCCATCGACCGCCTTACTGCCTAACTACTGACGAGCTGAATCCAAAGCCCTGGATCCAGAAAGGCGGTAGTTGTCAAGTCGACAATACTTGAACTTCTATGGTTCATTGGCATGTCATGGATTGTCCACGTTCAGTCCATTTCATCCAGCATAGAGCCGATCGAGAGTGGCACTGCAAGGTAGTTGGTCTTCTGATATGAAAGTGCTGTTCTTAGTAGCGTATAGTATAAAGCGTGATGACCTGGTTCATCAGGCGTATTTTGCATATCCGTTGTTTTCACCTAATTCAGCTAGTTTATTGAAAACGTCAGAGACTAGGTATCGAAATTTTTCGCGTATATATTCTATGTTTAGGGGGTATATCTCTGATCCGTAGAGAGATATGTATTTTTCTGTTTTTGGCAAACAAACTGGCATCACACCGGGGCCATAGACGTCGGCGTTTGATAAAAGCTTTCCTGACCTTATTCGAAAGGGGATCCTCTCTTCAGCTAGGTTATCGGGCATCGAAACTGTCCAGGTGAATTAACTTGTCTACCAGGTCTATCGACTTTTCTTGAAGTGTAGATTTTTTCTAGTTTGTTAAGTTTGAAGTGCATGCCAGTCCGCGCGACAAATTCTTAAGCTGTTTGAGAGATCTTTTTTCTATTATGAACGGTAGTGCTTGTGTACTATGTATTTTTGGAAAATGCTCCAGGCGCATTCCAACCGCCGAGGTTTAAAAGGTATCGGGACATGTTCTAGGCAGCACACATATCATTACAGGGCTGAAGAGGAGTGACGAGAGAGCAGCTCTGTAGTACACCATTGGTGCTGGTAAGTCCGGGCGAAAATCCTTCATGTGCTCGTGCGCTCCCGAAGTAGTTGGCTTGCAACACCCGTATGAACAAGAAAAATTTAAAACATTTCTGACCACCAGTGGCTGCCATAGTTACTAGTCAACAAACTGGAAAGTGGGTTTCAGCTGCAGAAAAACAACCACATTAAATAGAATGGCACTGTTCAGGAACCTTTCCGGAGTGAATAATAATAATAATGATAATTCAGCTGTAACACCCTTTCGGTGCCCAGCTGTCATACCACCAGAAGGGAGCTGGGATATTACCAGGTTTCCCAAACCTAGACAGGGCAACTCGATAGGCAGAGGTCGGATTCGAAACATGGACCTGGCCATCATCTTGGATACTACTGCCAGCAGGTTGGTGCCGCAGTAGCTTTTGCATGTTATGGCGTCTTTTCTGGAGATTGGGGTTAACGTCAAGACATTCCTTTACTCCGGCACACCATTGCGTTCCAACTAGCCTGTAGGAGGGCTGTCAGGCCTCTCAGCCGGGCTTACATATTTTTAAGAGTGCACTCTGTTGACCACCCTAGATGGGCGTCTTGTTGCGTTGAGGGCATGATAGCTGTTGTTAATGGGATGCTAATATGGTCGTTCTTTTTTTGGATTCTATGTGGAATTCAGCAATTTGTGACACGTGACCGTTAACTGAGAAATTCATGGCATAACTGATCTAACCAATCCGTGGGAAGAAGAAAGTCATCGCAAGTTCGACTGTTCGTGTGCAGTCAATCATTGCAGAAAATGCTGAAATACCGCATCTGGGGGTTCACAACATTCAGCTGTTTATGTTTTATTTTGGCGTTAAGTCATAGGCGTCCCTCCTAAAAGTGATCAATTCTTAGGAGATACTGAAATGTCCCTTTCTCTGTACTGACCTGTTTTCGCCGGTTCCAACATTTGAAGTGCTAGTTTGTAACCATCTTGTCAACCGACAAAGCTGCCATACTTACACTTATTTTATTCCGTTCTGTTTTCAGTGTTTGAATCCGTTTTACTGTTTCCAAGTCTTCAGCTGCGCCCTTTGGTTTGCAGATGACTACTGGATGTATGCGTCGTGCATACTGATCATGTCCGTTCTATCACTCATCATGCAAGTGTACGAGCTGCGTCGAGTAAGTCAAATGGAACCATATCGTCGTCATCCAGAGGAATATGTCCTTTTGAGCTTTAGCCTTGCATTCTTGTAGACAGTTAAGAGGCAGCCAATCACAGAATTACATCAAATATCCAGGTTTATTGTGGAATCGCGTTCAGTTCAGATCGTTTGCCTTCCTCCAACCGTAGGTTCTACTAGCACTTTTTTTGTTTCCAGCTGTACTTTCGTGGAAGTTAGATTTTTATTCCCATGCTATCTTCCCCTGACCAACTCTTCGACTTAGCGCAACGATTTTAACGTGTTATTTCCACCCGTAGTCTACATCGGAATCTACATGTGTGCGCGGCACAATCTTTTTTGCAACCGTTCATTCTTCCTTCCTGGCTCAAATCAGGCAGTACTCGACTGTGTTCCTGTGCATGTTTAAGATGAGGGGAAAGCATGACTCGCTGTATTGATGCTTCGCTTTTATTTAGTTAGCTTTCTGACAGTTTTTACGGTCAATTTGATGATGCCGTGTATTTTTTTTTGAATCTTTGGATTTTCTCGTTTGTCGGAATGGACACCGCCGAATCCAACCTCCTTTATTCTAGCAACTAAATGCCATCACGTTTCCTGCTGCACCTCTTAACCGGTGAATGGGCGATCCTTTTTAGACATAACAGCACGGTAAAAGTATCTCTAAGTAACAATCGAGGTGTGAAGAGGAATCAGAAGTTGAGTGGATATTCTGAGTGGCTCCGCATAGATAACTGCGACTAACATCAATATATGCTGCTCAGCTGACTGAGGAACCAAAAAATCCACCCTTTTGTTGGAATTGGACCAAATTCGTGTTGAGTTGCAGTGCTGCTTTACTTGGAAATCATCACAGAGAATGTGTAAGATATTGTTTCTGAAAGCAACTGACAGTTTAATTATGTATCTCCCCAACCAACCACCAAGAGAGGCCAAAATGTCTCTTTATTGACAGTTACCTGTCCTCAGCTGTATAACCGTGCCAATTTTGTCTCTGTTCAGAACGAAATTGCTTTGAAGAAAACCGTTTGCGGATCTGCTCTCGTTTCCGTGTGTCGCGAAGTGAACGGCCTGACCGGTACGTCTACAGTCGGGCACCTTGTTAAATTGAATGAACCCTGGCACCTCGCTCTGTTTCCCCGTAGACTGGAATGTTGTTATGGACAGCATATATCACTAGGTGTCTAAGCTAATGGAACTTTCCATCTTTCATAGTTTGTTTTGTGAACTTGTGGTCGATCGCGTCCGCTACCTTGTGTACATTCTTTCTCTACTGTCGAGGATACATTCTTCGGACATTCTCTAATGTGCGTTTTGTTACGACTATCGTCTTCTACAGTCTGTGTATAGTTTCATTCGAAGTTTGCTATGGAATGGGCGATCATTGTCTGTTGTACTAAGCATTCCAGTGTTAAGCACTATCTTTCAGCTGTATGCGCGCTGTTGTGCACGGTGTAGCTTGGTAACTGTGATCCTGTTTGTTACTCTCTCTGATAATATTCTGAAAAATGACTATAAGGCCTCTCGGTTTTCATACGTTAGCGTTGTGCGACCTCAAAGCAGAGTTCTTCGAAGATATTTTTTGAAATCACGAAAACCTTTGAAACATTTCGTTCTAAGGACAGCGGGTAGACCTCAGAGGGGGGGTTGTTGGATTGTCACCTGTAACTTGGTTCTAAGCCCCTTTTGAATACTGGCTACGCTTCAACGGAGGTCCAATCCGCGTTTACCCCTGCCGGCCTATTTCGGGAGGATCGTCCGGTGCTAAACGACAGGTCACAGATATGATGCGAACATCCAAAAGTCGGTGTCAACCCCCTTTCTTGTACTCTGCTTTTTCCTCAGTTTTTCAAGCAGTACCGCACAGGTTTTCAGGGCCTATCATCTTCGCACTGTGTACATATCAACATACAATCGTGATACTTTTAGAAAGCAACGATGTTTTTGTATCGTACTATGGATGACTGGGTGAATCATCTTGTTGGGATGTGTACCTACAGTAGATGCGCGGTGACTCCTAACGCCACTGACCAATAGTTGGGGTCATTCTCTTCTAAAAGGGTGTCTGGCCTATGTAGCCAACTAGCCATTCTATATATATATATATATATATATACTTCCAGTTGTGTGAAGACCCGCACTTCGGTCTTCGTAGCAAAGCAGTTAGCTGGCTGTAGAGCATCCGTACTGAGTGCCAGGGGGTGAATCGCAATCATCAAACGTACCAACATGCCTTATCCGTTTAAGGTGATTGAAATATGTACTATGTATTCCAGACCACCAATTTGCATAGGAATCGTTGTAGGGAAACGCTTCGACCTCATCTCTTCCTCGCCCCCATAAAGGATCTTGCATTTATTTTCTAACGGAAAATTTTCAAAAAATTTTCACACCCTGACCATTCGGAACTCGCTTGCAAGTGAAGGCCAATGGCATCTTCTTCCAGAGATTTAATACGATATCTTTCGAACAATCTAATCAGCCTCCTGAAAATTTTCACTCTAACTCTCCCGTGAAGCATCGGTGTTGAACACTGATGTCATGCTGTCGATGATGATGACGATGATGAACTCTCCCGTACTGGGTCGCGTCTTCGTGTCACTCAACAGTTGGAATGATCTCCGCGTATACTCTTAATCCTTTGATATTTAGGTCCTCCCGTCGTCCCGCCGTATCCTATTTCCTATAAGTTTTTCAAGTTCAGTGACTGTCACTTCCTGTTTTCTTTCCACCAAATGCACTCAGACTTCATTCAAGTTGATTCGACTGAACTGGTTCCGGGTGATCTGATTGAAATCCCAAGGAAAGGATGCGTCATGCATTGTGATGCGTTTGTGCTCACCGGAAATTGTATCGTGAACGAGAGCACTCTTACGGGTACGTGGCAAATTTCCCATCAACACGATGCTTCTTCAATGATTAATTTGTAATTGTTTCACCGTCTGAGTGTTTCCTTCAGGCAAAGCGTTTTAGTGTGGTTTTCTTGTGGTCAAAGAAATATATCTTCAAGTTATTCAGGCTCGCGTGTTTCTTGTCTGTAGTGGAAGACTAATGATCATTCTACATTCTGCCAGACGTAGTGAGTTTACTGCTCCAACCCCTTATTCAAACCAGGAGCCTGAAGTGGTTGAGCGAAAGACCCTACAATGAACAAAAAAGAGGTGACATTTAATAATTTGGACAATATCGACCGGATTCTTTACATTCCGAGTAAAGGATGTAACAATATGACGGGTGGATTGGTGAATAAAGCTTATCTCCCCTTGACTTTGTAATGTCGAATTCCAATTATGCATTTCTTAGGATGGATTTTCGGATTAGGTTCCGCCCTAATCCTTTATTTCACACACATCTATGGTCTAAACCCAAGATATGTGAGTCAAGCTAAGATAAGAGTGAATTTGTACCTAGTGTGGATGCGGACTTTGTCATTGAGGCTGAAGATCTGACGCGCTAATTGCAAGAGTAGGCTGTTTATTATTTCTAATACAGCATTCAGTTGTGACCTCATGGTTAGGCAGCTGAGTTATCATGTTGTCTGCAAACATACACTGCATTGATATGCAACCGAAGCGAGCTGAAACCAATCGTTTTCTGAAAGGTTTTGTGGTTATTATTATTATTATTATTATCATTATTATTATTATTATTATTATTATGCATTCCCTTCTCGTAACAACCCCATTCCAACACCGCCGGCGTTTTCGTCCTCGATTATCTCTCCGCTTCTCTATCGCGAGTTACGTTCGTCACCAGTCTTATACGTTAACCGGCTAATTCTTTGCCGATTAAACTTCCGCTGTGGAATGATTAGTCAAGGCCTATATTAGAACTGTTCGTGTACTATTCGCCAGAGTCCTACCTATAGAATTTAAGTCTCTAAAGGATGAATGTACTACTGTAATACGGATGGAGAGTCGGGAAAGCTAAGTTTTAAAATAATTCCTCGCCTTACCGTTTTGGACTGATGTCGTTTCGGTCAGCTAGCTGGGTTGTTTGATCAACTCTCGACTTCGCGCCAGGTATGCTGTCGCCTCGCTGTTTCAGTTGTTGCACCCGCTTGGATTTTTTAGGCTTCCGTTTTGGCTGATTCACTCACTAAGCGGCATTACCCTAGAATGGCAGGACTACTCGAATTCAGTGACAGGGTCCGACGGGAATGGAGCATGTAAAGTACTATCAGTTGTTTAACGTGTATGGCAATCGCAATTGGAGCCAGAACTTGTGCTAGCCAACAGTGAAGAACGGCATCCGAACTTGTTTACTTATTAGAGTCGATGAGTTAAGTCTAATGAGTGTTGTTAGTTGACGTAATTTCCTAATGTGTTTTGCTATTTTCCTGTCCGGACACTTGGAGAAGTTGCACGGAGCGGATATCCATATGCCCTCACTCTCTGGGCTTTTGTCTGAAGAGACGCAGAAAATGTCTGCTTTTCTTCGAAATCAAAACCATTCACAGCAATATAATATATTCTGTGTAAAATGAATACCTAAGTATATCTGGATAGCTGGTATCCTAGTAGAATTCGGCCGTTAGTAGTAAGCAAACCATTAGGCGCGTTCACACGGTATGGAAGCTCAGACGGTGTGCCTGGTGCCCACTGTGGTGTTAGGTACAAGCCGTTGGTGAAGATCTAGACCCGGGAGAATGAGATCGTTACCTTTAGCAGGTAGACAGATAAATTTGCTAATAATCCGCATGGCCGATCCTACTGTGGCATCTGCGTCCACTAGCTGCGTAAGTCAACACTGTCGAGACTGTATTGAGGAGGTTGGCACCTTCCGAATGATTCCCTTATTTTGTAGCATTGCCACATGTCGCGTCTCGATGCTTCTCATGTTTCGTAAGACAGCCGTTTTCCAAACTGCTTTGTCGGGTGTTAGATCCTTCCATGATCTAGAATGCAAACTGCCGTCTACTAAAGCTCCCTGAAAGATACTCAATACCAGATTCCGGGTGTCTTTGATTTCGAAATCCATCCTTCAGCTCACCATAGACGGATTGTTTCAGGATGAGAGGTTCAGCCATTCGTTTCAAGTGACCTAACAGGAGAGCTGGTTTCGCATCTTACTGTGTTCAACCCAACAGTGCTTGGTCTTCGGAGCACTCTGGTGCTCGGGATTCGGTCCTTCCATTTGATCCGAATGATTTTGCGCAGACTGCAAGTGAAGTCGGTCAATAACCCGAACGTGTCTTCTGTATAGCGTCTACGCTTGCTGCCGCACAGTAATCTAGATGGCAGCTTTGTGGTGGTTGCAGCTTTGGCGTGTGTGCGCAGCACGTGTTTCTCAAGGTATCTAAATGCCGCGCTTGTTTTTGCAGTTCGTGTGCTTATTTCCTTATCAAGTGTCAGGTCTGTGGATAGTGTGCAGCAGTTCAGCACACTACCTCACAAGCATGTAGCTGAATGCTTGATTTTCAATTTTCATTTCTCGGTACAGGGCGATGAAAGACAAGCGTTTTGGAGATATTTGTTTAGGCCAAAATGGGACTGAAGTAAACACTGCACTCATTCGCTGTAATTCTGTTTCGGAGTGCGGAAATAAAAATCAGTTGACCGCAACCAGCAGTATTTTCGCCAAGGAACCACCACCTTCGCAACAGCGGAATGACTGAGCGCTTAGGCTTATCAGATAATAGTCAGAAAAACCTGAGCTATAAACACAACCGTGATTAACTTCGGTATCACTTTCGACGTCGTTCGAAATAGTTGTACAGATTCGCACCCGAGTTTTTAACTCTGTATGGAAAACCTTGATTAGTTTGACAAATTTGTCTGGGCAGTCGAGCTTTCGCAGTGCTTTTTTGTTGACTGAGTCGAAGGCTTTGGTTAAGTCCACAAAAACAGTCCATAGAGCGGCTGATTCCGTTCGCAACATTTCTCCAGGTCTTGTCTTGGTCCTTCAGCCATTTCAAACGCCACAGTGTTGTTCACAAAACTACCCTTCAGAATGTCCGCGACTAGCCAGTTGAGTAGGATACAAACCTTTTTGCCGCGCTCAGAAGGCCAATTCTGCGGTGGTTGTTCATCTTATATGGAGCACCTTTCTCTTTGTCCAATTGACCTACTTTTGCATCCGTGAGATCGTGTTGAATTTCTTCTCTTCCGTATAGTACCTCCACCTCGAGTTCGCCAGGGTTATTCCACTGACGTTTGATTTTGGAATAGTCATTGTGTTTCTTGACGAAGACGGGCATACTGTCCCACTATATACGTTGCTGATGCCAAAAGGAATCAAGCGGTTTAGAAACCACTTCTGGTACAGGAATCGTCCTATGGACACTGAAAATCTGAAAAATGGACATCGTCAGCCTTGAGTAACGAGTGAGTAAAATCCCTTGTGGCCGTTTGGATGATCCCGGTTAGTCGTCTTGCTGTTGTCTTCGAAATGGCCACTGAACGCCGCCTTTCCAATGTGTACATATGTTAGATATAATAACTCAGATATACCACCAGAACTCTACATCGAATTCGAATACGGAACAACAAATCCTTTTCGATTTTTCGAAAGTTCAAACGAACCCGAATGCTAGCCACATGTCCCCTCGAATTCGGGTCTATCCGAGTAGAATTGTGCCTAGTAGTTTGAGAGTACATACGGAGCCATCTCCAGATCAATCCACCTTCTGATGCGTTCTCTTAGGGGTATCTGTAGACTGCGGAGATGTCTGATTTTGTTCTTTACTCAAACCACCGTTTTCGGCGCTGTCTCTGGTGACCAAAAAAAATCGATGTGCCCTAAACCTATCTGCATATTGTCCGGGACTTAGGTGAATTTCCACTCTTAATCACTGGGACCAAAGGTCCAATATTAGTGTCCGACGTGTCTTAGCTTTATATTTCACGGCAGTTTGAATTTCTATGGATGAACCATCCGCGCAGTCAATAGCTGCGTAACCGTCACTCAATTGACCGTTGTCACGTGTCTGTCTGGGTTTTCTAACTCAGCACGTGACTCTAACGTAAGGCGAGTTGCGATGTACGTCCTTAATCAAGTTTTCCTGTTTAACTAGATTTCAGTCGTCCATACATTGTGATGATAGACCTTAACTACTAGTTAATTTCACGTAATGATGTCCGTTGTTCACGTCAGCGCCGCTATTCGGTTGCAGTTTATGCATTAAACAATGTCGGTCGCTCTAGTTTGGAGTTTTCTCGGGTCGTTGAATTGGTTCCTGTAAACAGAAACCAGTCTTGTTTATCGTTTATCGCCAAGGTCTAGTTCATTGTTGCCAAGTGGCCACTTGCTGTAGAAACCGATGCATTCGCTGAATGTTGTCCTGTGTTCTCTCAGGTCTGAGATAACTGAGAGACTAGTGTAGTTTTACCTGAAGATCTGTAGTTTCAATATCGCCTAGTTTTTTGTGTATTCTTTGGCGCTGGATTGCTTAGCCGCATCTCAGTGTGTTTTCTTCGACCCTCCTGGCAGTTGGGGGGGGGGTGCAGCGTATGTGTTTTATTTTACAGGTGTGAAAGTACAAGTGAGTGCGGAAATCCCTTGTGAAAAAGTAAAAAACGGAGGATTGCCAAATGAAATCAAAATGAAGTTTTCCTTATCTGCCCTCCTTTCAATTTGCACCAGGTTCTTCTACCAGCCAGGGGATGGCAACCCAACGAATCACCCAAGTCCTCCGTAGCTTGGTTAGCTGTACTTCCTCGGATGACTGAATGACTTGATTTGGTTTGCACTACTTATCCTAAATGCATTTCTTTGATTTACCCTCCTTAGGCGAAAGCGTTCCTGTGACCAAGACCCCGTTGCCCGATAATCAACAGCTGGATGGCGGGTGTAACTTGAACGCTATGGCAAGACATGTGCTGTTCGGTGGTACATCAGTCATCCAAACACGTAACTATGCCAATGAGCGGGTTATTGCACTCGTGGCACGCACCGGCTTTCGTACAGCCAAGGGTGAACTGGTTCGGTCCATTCTCTTTCCAAAGCCCATGAAGTTCAAGTTCACACAAGACGCCCTGAAATTCGTTCTCGCCCTCGCTTGTATTGCTGTGATTGGATTGAGTTTGTCGATCTATCTCATGGTAATTGACTGCTTCACTGAGTTTTGTATCCTGTTCCGAAATAGTTCATACGCACGAATATTGGTGAACGGTGATTGTTCTTTCTGACCCCTTTCCCCCCAAATAATATCCGTGAGACTTTTTCAGACCATACCCAAAACTTCCAGAAAAAGACCCATTTGACTGTATCCGTGTCACCGAATTCTCTAAGAATAAAAACCCAAGTGTACAGTTCGTAACATTTATATTACGATAGCAGTGGATTATATGGCTAAATCGCCTTGAAAAGAGATTGTCGTTTAAATGGCGGTGACCTGAAACTCCGACTGTCGCTTACAAACTCAGCTCGTACAGTCATCTCTGGCTGTTGAGACGTCTGTTCTATCGGTCCTTTGAAGGCTAATCCATTGCTCAACTGCCCAAAGCACAATTTTGGCCAGACCCTTTTGCTGGTTTCCATGGACCAAGTGGTTAAGGCGCTAATTTGCTGATCGGAAGGTCCGTGGTTCGACCCGACCTCTGCCTCTCGACTTTACCTGTCTAGGTTTGGGCAACCTGGCAGTATTCCAGCCCTCGTGCCTCCTTCTTGTGGCTGGTTTCCTTGGAGTAAGTGACTAATATACCTAATTCACTCAAGGAAGACGAATTGAGGTGACTTACTAGTTCTCTCATACAGGTAATTTATTTAGATTCGGAGCTGCAACTGAAACCACTGGATCTTACGGCATAAACTACAGTATTTTTCTTTCTGAGTGTACATCAAAGGTATCGTGCTTCAGAATATAGTTCCATTTGATTTACATGTAAAAATTCTGTTGAATTTCAGGTTCCTAACAGGATCCTACATCACAATACTTTAACCCGTATTCTCCTCACCTCACTCTCCTGAGTCTGAAACTTTGTTTCCTGTGTTGTGATCTCTCCGAATGAAGCCATCTTCGAGGGGGCCAAAAATCCTTCTCATTCTCCGGAAAATGAGGTCCAACTTATCTTAAGTGATAAATGACTATAAATAGGTATCTCGCGGACAGCTTGGCCACTTCTATTTACAAAATCAGGGCTATAATCCGCCAGGGTTGGTATAATGCATGCACTTGAATCGAAGCTGTCAATTTGTCGAGGAATGCCGAACAGATATTATATGGTCTTTGATTCTTCAGCCGAGTGAGCCAGTTCGCATTTTCACAGTCCCGCTACACATAAATCCTTCAAACTTCTCTGATTTCCTTGCGCGTTGTTTCAAATTTCTCAAGTAACACGTTGTGTTAGGAACCTTTAGGCAGCTGTAATATCCCACAATCATCATCATCACCATCATCATCATCGGCAGCATGAATCAGTGTTCAACACCGATGCTTCACTACCGTACTAGTATGTCATGGTTGTACGAGGGCTGGAATACTGCCAGGGCGCCCACACCTAGACAAGAGGACTATTAGGGTCCTCAATCAAAGCCTTTGGCTCAAAAGCCTAACCGCAAGGCAGCAGTGTTTGGTGGGAAATGCAAATGCATCACCATTTCTACGGAACAAGTCGCCACATGTTCCAACCCCCAACCTGGAGGGCCAGGAGACTGTGTTCGTCAGGCCTCTAACAATTGACCAACCTGGTATGAGAGACTCTGTTAGTGTCGCGGGGACACTCCCCAGTATAGCTCAATGGGTCGTTGAGGTGCGCAAAGCGTCACACCACGGTAAGGTCCAGTCTCTTCGTGAGGGATATCCCACAAACTGGTGATCAAAACCCCAAATTACTGGGCCGTTATCTCGCTAGATCCACATTGACTGATTTATGTGGATGAATCTAAGGAACTCAGCTGAAGAACTATCATTCTATAAGTTGCTGCTGTAGCGACTGGCTCAACTCGACTATTTTAACCCTAGTACAATCTGTTTCCTAACTTTCGGGTACAGTATTCCGTCCTCGATAAAGGCTTTCCTTAACAGAAACGAAATAGTAGTGGCACCAGTGGGCTCGCGATCAGGAACACAATGATTAGATTTGTGTTCATATATACGGTTTCTAGTGATGCAAATTTGTGCGCATATCTTGAAGTGCGACCGTCACTATGATCAAAGCCTATTAAACTAATGCTTTTGGCGGTTAGCATACGCTTCCTGTTTTGGCAGCATGCGAAAATTTGCCTAACTTACTCAAGAAGTCAAGTAAGGGTTTGAGTCATATTCGTATATCTGACGCCTCCTAGGGGTTCTTCAGTACCGTGGCCTTCCTAACGACGTTGATTTGTCTGTTTCCATGGTGGTTTTCATGAACGGTACACTTCTTTTTTGTGAGGAAGTGATCTTCCAGACGGAGTGCGAAATACTGCACTGGCCTTACCGTTGAATCATTTGAGAATGATGGTGGTTCTTGTGTTAGCATTTGCTTTTACTGTCGGTTAGGAAAGACCTTATCCAAGCATGAACCTATTGGGCCACTACCATATCTGGTCTTCGTTTGGAAAAGAAAATCATTATGATAAGCTATTCTTCCATCCCTTTGTAGTATCGGTCTGGAGTTGACACAAAGTCACTGTTTGTTCGAGCACTGGACTTAGTCACGATCGTTGTCCCGCCCCACAAACTGGTGATCAAAACCCCAAATTACTGGGCCGTTATCTCGCTAGATCCACATTGACTGATTTATGTGGATGAATCTAAGGAACTCAGCTGAAGAACTATCATTCTATAAGTTGCTGCTGTAGCGACTGGCTCAACTCGACTATTTTAACCCTAGTACAATCTGTTTCCTAACTTTCGGGTACAGTATTCCGTCCTCGATAAAGGCTTTCCTTAACAGAAACGAAATAGTAGTGGCACCAGTGGGCTCGCGATCAGGAACACAATGATTAGATTTGTGTTCATATATACGGTTTCTAGTGATGCAAATTTGTGCGCATATCTTGAAGTGCGACCGTCACTATGATCAAAGCCTATTAAACTAATGCTTTTGGCGGTTAGCATACGCTTCCTGTTTTGGCAGCATGCGAAAATTTGCCTAACTTACTCAAGAAGTCAAGTAAGGGTTTGAGTCATATTCGTATATCTGACGCCTCCTAGGGGTTCTTCAGTACCGTGGCCTTCCTAACGACGTTGATTTGTCTGTTTCCATGGTGGTTTTCATGAACGGTACACTTCTTTTTTGTGAGGAAGTGATCTTCCAGACGGAGTGCGAAATACTGCACTGGCCTTACCGTTGAATCATTTGAGAATGATGGTGGTTCTTGTGTTAGCATTTGCTTTTACTGTCGGTTAGGAAAGACCTTATCCAAGCATGAACCTATTGGGCCACTACCATATCTGGTCTTCGTTTGGAAAAGAAAATCATTATGATAAGCTATTCTTCCATCCCTTTGTAGTATCGGTCTGGAGTTGACACAAAGTCACTGTTTGTTCGAGCACTGGACTTAGTCACGATCGTTGTCCCGCCTGCCCTCCCTGTTGCTATGACTGTTGGCATCGTGTTTGCCCAGCGTCGGCTCCGCTCCGAAGACATTTACTGTATCAATCCGGGCGCCATCAACGTGTGCGGCGTTATCAGTGTGACTTGTTTTGACAAGGTAAGCTTGTTTGATATCAGTGTTTCGGGCCAGTCACTTCGGATGATGCTGTTTGGCACAGACGTTAAATGTTTTCCGGACTTTCCACTGGATTACTAGATGTGTCTCCCGCCGGTAGTCGTCATTAGCACACAAACCTTCCGAAGACTGGTATTGGTCAATCGTGTGCAACTTAACTCCGTTTGCGTAGTTAATTAAGGTAGGTCTGATAGACTACTTTAGGCTTACCTTTAACGAGTGGAGCGTTATTTTTTGTCAACTAGTCAGGAAGAGTCATAGGCGGTTGGTACCGAGACGAACTTGGCAATTAGGCGTGGATGTAGATCCGAGGGAATGAGGCAAACGTGCAGGAGGGGGCTATTGCAAGCCATCAGCCAGCTTAAACATGAGTTTATCCATCGTTGCTTCGACGTTCGGACTGTGAGTGTCCGAAATTCTTCAGTGTGAGGTTTTGCTGCTATTTCTTCCTAGAAGCTATCCTCCACTCAAAAAACGAACATGGGCAAAAAAGTCATCTATGTGTTCTTTGAGCAAAGTAAAGTTTGATTTGCCGTTTTAGCGACTCTCAGAATAAACAATAAGTAACTCGTTACAAATCAGTAAATGCTAAAATTTTGTCTCAACGTTGTCACTTTTCGGCCGTTCCCACTCACTTGTGAATATTATGGAGTAGCATAGATTCTGTCCATGGTTGACGTGGGACTAAGCTTTGTGTATCTCAGTAACCAATTAAGCCATACCACAAGATGCCTATGCAGTGTCCATAAAGTCTCTCCCACTAGCTTCACTGATGAATAAAAGTCTGATGTACGCAGTCTACTGTCTCGACTACCACGTGTTCTATAATAAACGTATGTGACTAGGTTTCCATCTAGCAGTGAAGAAACTTTGTGCACGTTAAATGAATGTATGTACCATGCAAAGCCTTATAAGTGACCTCAAAAGAAATTGACTGAAACTGAGAAGACACAACCACAGCCATATGTGATAACGGGAACTCTGTGCGTTGTGTTTCGCGTCACTTTCACGGAAATGAATGTGTCCCAGCGTGATTTAATCACCATTCGACCAAACGATCGGTCAGATACCAAATCAAATATAGTTTGTGATGGAACCATGAATCTCATGAGAGGGTGGATGGTTGTCTAGTCGAGAAAGCAGAGGTTTTTCTCCTGCGGAATGTCTCAGTTGGTGATTTGCCTGAGGTTTATGAGGTAAAAACCAGCGACTATATCACTGGGACGGATATTTTCAACAGCAGTTTAATCAACCATCTACTCCTTCATCTTCTCCGTTCATCTTGGGCCATGGTCGGTGCGTTTAGACCCTTATGAGAAACGGCCTTTCTGCCCTCGAACGTCATAGGGCTGCTCGTCCAGTTGGGCTTCTGTCAGTGTTATTCAAAGATTTTTTGTGTTCTACTTTGTCTAGGTTGTCGGAGCTCGTTTGAGGGCGGGAGCTGGAATCAGTCGTTCATTATGTTTTATCCAAAAAAGACATTCGAATTGACTGTTCTAACCACGACTTATGAGAAGCCGGAATGCTTAAAAGTAGTTGTTTCACGGACATCCTCTGCTCAGCACCTGACTTCTGTTCAATCATCATCATCATGGACAGAATTACATCAATGTCCAACACTGATGCTTCGCTGCCGTATTTTGTATTCAACCGTGTTGACTTGTTTATCAGTCACTAAACTGTGTGTGGGTCTTCTAAGCTGTTTTCCCCAACATGCTTTTTAACAATTCAGTGTCCTCGGGAAAAACATTTGCTTCCTAAATTGTTATTGCTATTCTTTCATCCGACAAGACTGGCACACTGACTGAGGATGGATTGGACTTGTGGGGTGTGGTACCGAACGACCAGGGCAATTTTGGCGAGCCACACTTCAAGCCCCATGAATTGGAACGAGGCCCCCTGATAGAAACGATGGCCGCTTGCCACTCACTGACACTGATCGAAGGTGTGCTTTCTGGCGATCCACTTGATTTGAAGATGTTCCAGTCCACGCAATGGGTAAGTAACAAGTGTATTCCTCCCACACATTGAAGTATCCCATCGCCGCGTAAGCAGCATCTCGTTCTATGATATCGCCCGAAAACGATTGCTACGAGCACGGAGTTCACGGGCCCTCTGGCACTTTGCACTACTACTTGTCACTACTACTGAATTTTCCCCAACTTCAGCCCAATTGAATACACCAACCAATACACTATCTACTAGTTGTGCGCTAGTTCTAGCTACCATAAACTTGTCCATTAATTTTGAGATGATGAAAAGGAGTCAGTTACTCCTCAGTAGCAGGGAATCTTATGTTTTAAGTATCGACCAACGACCAACCGTACGTTGTTCCATGCTTCTCCCGTTTGTGTGTACCAGAAGGATGGAACTAGGCCATCTCTCTGAGCGTTTTCTAATAGCTGGGGTGTACTCTTACAACGTTTACAATTCAAGAGGTATCAGAAGTTAACTTCACTGCATCTGGTCGAAATATGGCCTCGAATGTCCTCTCTCCGAACATATGACTATATTAGGTCTGTCTGACGAATCGATTCAAGCAACGTTTTGAAAGCGTAACCATAGAATGTTAGTTTAGCGTCACTGCTTCGTTCCTCACAGATGGACTACCTCCTTCAGCACAATTGTCTGGATATTCCCTCCGTACTTCAACAATACTTTTATAACATTTGGATTCAAGACATGGAAAATTATTTTATCTTTGTGTATTTTTACCACGCCTCTTGTCAGTACCTTCGAATATTGCGCATTCAGCTTTCCTATTGCTACTACTCTGGAGTGTACGTTTGTCGAGAGCGTAGAGATACGAAGAGACTGGACCTTACTGTGGTTTGACGGTTTGCGCACCCCAGCGGCCCATTGAACTATAGTGGGGGGTGTCCCCGCAACGCTCACATTCTCTCATACCAGGTTAGTCAATGGTCAGAGGTCTGACAAACATAGTCTCATGGCTCTCCAGGTTGGGGGTTATAATTTGTGGCAACTTGGTAATGCATTTGCATTTCCCGCCAAACACCGCTGCCTTGCGGTTAGACTTTTGAGCCAAAGGATTTGATTGAGGACCCTGGTTGTCTTCCTGTCTAGTTGTCTGCGCCCTGATAGTATCACAGCCCACGTACAACCACAATACTTACGTCTCACAATAAGGGGGAGACGGACCAAGTGGTTAGCGCGCGAATTTGCTGACCGGAATGTCCTGGTTCGAACCCTACCTCTGCCTCTCGACTTCCCCCGTATTCCCCATGTCTCCTTCGTGTGGCATGGCAGCTAGGCACCGGAAAGGTGCTACAGCTGAACGATTTCTAACATTAAACTCATGTCATATCGGAGGTCGCGTGGTGTCCTCAACCGGGTCGCCGTACTCGCTGCACACAGCGGAGCTGGTAAGCAAAAACAGGCTTATGCTGTCACCTTCTTTTTCGCATGGCTTTACTTCCCCTCTCCACACCCTATCAGTAACTCTCTCTGGACTGATGACTCCGTTCATCTTGTATCGGTTTCACGTGAAACATCTGCTCGTCATATGGTTCCGACATCGTCAGGTATCTCCAAATCAATCCGTCAAGCCTCGACACTTAGTCTATCTAGCCGCCCTCGATGTCCGCACTCTGAAGCAAGCAAGACAACAAGCTGCTCTTGCTCTCACACTGGACTCGATTGGTATTGATTTGTGCTGTGTCAGAAACAAAAACTCAATATGTAAGCACAATGACTGAGCTAACAGCCCCATCGGTCTCCGCTCGCTTCCGGCTACGCACCTCTGGCTACCGCACCGGGACGTGCACGGGTTGGTATCGTCCTGAGTGGACGGGCGGAGGTATCCTTGCTTGATTGGATGATGATTAGGACGGACAGGACACACTAACGGTATTGCAAAAGTTTTCGTGTCCGGTTACAGTCTTCCATATCAAAACTACTGTGATGCAGCCTGACGGAAAGATTGCCGGCATTGTCGTAGCTTTCAGCCGTCTTAACGAAAAGAGCGATGGATACCAAACTGCGAGTATGTCATGAGCTGATAAATGATTTCGTCTTTTCAGATTGGCAGGAGTGTAGGAAGAATCTCCCAGATATGTTGGAACCAGTGGAATCTACGCGGTGACTAAGTGTGACCTCTTAGAATCACTTCTGCACTGTATTCACCTAGTATATCCAGTAAGGACCGACCACCCTTTCAGGAGCCGACTTAACAGCATCACGATTCAACCAGCTGGTTTCCCTGCTGAATCGCCCAAACCATACATTACAGCTTGCAGTGCGGTAAATTAAAAATCAGTATCAAGTACCGTTTCTCTGGATCCGTGATTAGATATCACCTGGATATCGGTCATGTTTGTGCGCACTTAGTTGTTTTTCCTTTCCAATTTACGGACTTTCGTTCGGCGGCACGCCTACTAGACACGTGTTCATTAATTTAGCTATGCACATGTGACACATTCTGAATGCAATGACCTCCCCTCCAAGGACCTGTTCAAAGAGAGAAGTAACCCTGTTGGAGAGTCCGCGACAGCGTTTCCATCTAGATACGGATAGGGTTTACTCCCGGAACAGTCCAGGACACTTTCATCCCTAGTTGATCTATTGAAGAGGAGAATGAGTGGGAAAATGTCTAGTGGTTTTTCCTGGGGGGTTACTCTTTCTTTGGAACCAAACCTGCATGCTGTGACGGCCATTACGAATCTCAATCACTTCGATATTTAGTTAAAATCAGTTGTCGCTGGCTGTGCTTGAGATACGCGAGGACTATACGCAAAACTTTGATCCACGAGTACCAAGCGGAATTTTGACTGGACAGAGTCTGCATCGATCGCACCTTCACACTCCGTCAGGTATCGTCGACCTGTACGTACGGTCTACAACCTTGGTGTTCCTGGAATTCGAGAGTGTTTGATTCCATCGATCGTTAATCCTAACAACAGGAGATGCCCCAGAAGTTTGTGAACATAATCTGGACCTCATATTCATGCATCCGGACTTGTAAAAGTTTGCGGGGGTCGCCCGGAAACCTTCTCTACAATGGTGGGTATTCAGCAGGGATATTCATTGTCTCCGTATTTGTTCACTCTTGTCATCGGCGAAATGATGGAGCAAATGCTAATGTTCAAGTCAGTGTTGAGGTTCCCGATACGGAACCTTGAGTGACGCGTAGGTTCAACAATCCCGAATATCAAATGGATGAATTGGGTTCGTAATTCTACGGTGCTGTAAACACGAGGGTAAGCAAGTGTGCACAACAAACCTCAATTGTTCACGTTCGTAGCGTCAACACGTTCACAGGTCTGTCACCGACCGGCACTGTGCAGTGTCAACGTCCGAACACCAAACAACGGCGAGCGGAATGGTGGTGTGGGTTGCGGTCGTTCCTTCCGACGACGGTCTAGTGATTCTCACTGGACGTGCAATAACACGGAACTCATGAGAAAACAAGTCAAGCCAGGCTCCGCAACGGGACATGACCGCACATGGGTAAGTAGGTCAGCAGCGCGCATTCACAAACTGACACACATGTCAATACACAAGCATCAGAAAGAATGGCCTCTGCGGCAAGGTGGGTGGCGGGTACGAATAAGCAAAACAACTGGAGATCAAAAGTACTTGAGCGGAGTAAGCAAATGAATGGGGGAATTATCATAAGGTCAAATTAGACTCAACAGTCAGTGGCAACGCTGACGATTACGCCTAATCGCTGAAGTCGACCGTAAAGCGCTAGTATGGTTGGTTTAACTGGCCACCATCCTACCGTATTTCGGCATGTACCTTGCGCCCAAGAAGTGAAAAGTCCTACTTGAGAGTGTGCATTATTTGAATCTCATTTCAAACGGAAACACTGAGGATTACGTATTACGATAGTTTCTGTTGTGCGGCCCCATTCGCTTGACGTTTCCGAGGGAGGATGAATTCGGCTTACAATCATCCATTGCGGTTGACGCTGCCCCAGTTCGGTCACGTTTGGAGTCATCTTGTTCAGAACCGTCGTTTCAACCACTGGATTCTTGCCGAATAAGAAGAGCGTGTGCGCTTTGCGTGTAAATTTCGTGCTGCTGAAATTTACGAATTTCCTCCGTGCTTCGAATGTTGGCTAATCTGTTACCAAGACGTTCATTGTGAACTTACTGATGTTAAGTTCTTTCCTCCATAAACTGGTTTGACCATTCCACTTGTAAGGCTTGCAAATCATACATTTCTACAAATTTTGTACCTTTTTGTTTCATTGGTCACGTTTTTGCCTTATAAAATTTGATTTACCCCGTATATGTTTGTCCACCTCAATCGGTGTTTTGCCATCCGGTCATACGAGTTTTGTTCAACGATTTTTTTTAACGAATGTAGTTCTACGCCTATCAAAGGATTGTGTCTGTCTACTCTGCAACGTCTTCTTAAGCCAGATTTATTTCATAGTGCGACACTCCAGATTAATTCATTTGGAGTCGGCTAACTCCAACCATAGAATAAAATTCGATGTGTTATCGGGCATTTACTGGTGACTGGAAATTGGTCGTTCATATTTACAGCGGTATTTCTTCTCGGTACTACCCGTTTTTTTTGTGTAACGTCAGACGTGCGGCTGGTTGATATCGACAATGATGTGTTGCACAGTCTGCGTGTCTGATCTCAGCGTTCTTTGACCCAGCTTATCACAGTCGTTGGACGTGATGCAGATGCGACCCGCTTGGTGTGCGTGATCTCACTCAAGCACTTGGCTTATCGCACTTCCGTAACATCATCCGCTTCTTCCTGTAAACAGGTTGATGCGGTTTATCATCTGACTGCTCAACTGTGTGATTGACGGACTCATTGGCATCATTGGCATTTGGCTTCAGTCTCCGATTTCATTGCTTTCATAAGTTGCATCTGTATGATTGTGTACAAAGGTGCATTACTACTCGCCCATTTGTATAACTTTCATCAATAATGCATAGTTCCGCTTGTCTGTCCGTCCAAAGCGATCTGCACTCCCCTATGCTGTTTCGTCATAGATGGAGTTCCCACTGTCAAACCATGCTCCCAAGGGGCATCGCAGAGTGGTATTGGTTTTTTGGAAGACAGTGGTAGCGCAATGAGATGCTATTGTGAGGAGTTTTATTGTCACTTGAATAGACTATCTGTTTGTCTTTGCTTCCTGGTTCACTTGCGAGCCTACATCGTTTCGAAACCAATATGGTTAATTCTTAAGTATGCCACCCTCCACTCAGGGGCGTAAAATTTCGCAGATTCTCCTTTTTCGTGATCAGGTTGTCCCTGTTCACCAGACACCCTTATGCCCTATGGGCGCGTATGGGCATGAAGCCAAATTCAACTGGATAAGATCTAACTGTGCAAGCCCTCGGCATCAGTAATGTTGCTTTTACAGGCGCATTCCTCGTCTGTCTTTGGGGACAGAGATTAGTTTATTCCTTATCTGTCGTTTGCGGTAGGAATTTTCTGAACAAATATCCGAAGATCACTGTAAATTCGAAATGGCTGTGCCGGCTATTGTGCGTCCACCGGCAAAATCATCTTCGACACATCTCCCTCTGGAATCCACTGTGAACCCAGAGGTAAGTTTTGATTTTTATTCCTCTCTTTTTGGGAGCCTCGTCCAACTGTCAATAGTGAGTGTCGGTTTTCCAATCAGGCGGAGCCTGTACACTTAATTCGCCCTCTGTTTTTCTGGAGTCTAATAATGTAGCTGTTCCAGTATTATCAGAAGAAGCTTTGAGCTTGAAGTCCGTAGGTATGTTCAATCACGTGGAAAATACTTGAAACCGATTGGATAGTCACCGTTTTCGAAAAAGTTTGGTGACAATCGGTAGATTTATTGCTGGGCAACGTTTCGCTTGACACAAAAGCTTCGTCAGGCCAAGTGACTAGGTTCCGAGGTTGATCGAGATGTAAGGCGGAAGGAGAATCAATCAGCTAAGTCAAGCTAAATCTCTGTTGGGTGTCGGCCGAGCGATTTTAGTGTGTTAGACTGGTTGCACAAGTGTTGAGTCGGTGGGGAAACCTACATGTGTTTGGGTCCTGCCTTTGGTCTAGTTCTTCTGGTGCTCCCTCCGCCTTAAATCTCGATCAACCTCGGAACCTAGTCACTTGGCCTGACGAAGCTTTTGTGTCAAAAGCGAAACGCTGCCCAGCAATAAATCCACCGATTATCACCAAACTTTTTCGAAAAAGCTTTGAGCTGTTCAACACGATAAAAATTTAAAAAACGCAAGATAAACTTTCGTTCCCTCGCGGCTGTTTTCTGTTTTTCTTGTTAGCAGAACAGGTTGAAATTTTATTACTGTTGTTGTAAGGAGCCGACTACAACTTGATTGAGCCTTTCGCTTAGCTCGTGAAGCGGCCCGTTGTTCGCCCTAATCGCACAACCTCTTCGTGGTTATCTCATTTTTTGTGGGCTTCTTTGATGTGGACCGGACCATTATTCACCGTTGCTTCAACCAGGCTGAGTGCCAATAACCTCCAGTTTACTTGGATTGTCTCGTGTCTCCTCTTCCGGATCGTTTTGATCTTTGTTTTTCAATGTGTATTACATCATCACAGCTGTACATCTCATTTGAGAAACCCAGATGAGAACGCAGTGTCCCTCACACATATGTCTCGTTACCCTGCGGAGTACGCCGAAGAGAAATTGTATGTTATTGAGTGTTGGGGTTAACTGAGATCGTTTAGTGTTCGTGGTTTTGTAAGAGCCGTATTCTAGGCGATACATCAATATGCATCCATATTCCATCTGTCAATGTGTTCCCGGCTGGTGGACGGTAGTTGTGAGCAAACTCTAATGCGGATGAAGTGCTAAAGTGCTTGCCTGCTTCAGCCCCGACTGGCTCCGGTTGCACAGCCGGTATGGTATTAGACGCACGAAGTTTGGCACCGCTAGATGGCTTGTTCGATTTTTCCTTGACGAAAGCTAATCATACTGCTCGTCAGTAGCAGCTGCAGCTCACTGTTTGACGGTTTAGTTCTTCCAAGCGACTAGTAATGTACACACCTTTGATGGCGGACTGGATTCGTCTTCTAGATAAAATCATTTGGAAGATAAGAATTTTGCCGGTTACAAAACTTGAATCCATTAAAGGAAGACGCGTTACTTTTCCCAATCTTATGGGATTGAAAAAATCACTTCGAATGTGTGGCAGATTGCCACGCTATCTTCCGGTGAACTCATAGGAAGTATTTTTGAGCATGTTCCCCCATAACTTTTATGAAACCTGTAATTTGCATTCCCACACCTCTTCACTCCCATCACATTCATGGTAGATGCTCCCATACGAGATCGGTATAATACGCCAATTTCCATTCACATCCTCGCTGCAACGCATGTCCGTCGTAGCGCGTGTTCTCAACGGCACACACTTCAATCTGTATGTCAAGGGCGCTCCGGAAATGATCGAAGCACTATGTCGTCGTGACACCAGTGAGTTTTTGCAGATTTTTACTAAACAGAGCTAGCGTTGCTTTTCTGACAACTTCCATTTCGGTCCTGGCTGGTAGCACAAGACGTGAATGGTTGTTTTTGGCAATCTACGGTTCTGTTCCGTGCTCACTTCGGGCTGGCAACGCATATGTCTGTGAATAAAGACAGTCTATCGGTCAGAGTCAGCCCAACACACCTACATTTGTATTCTCAATGCAGCGTCTTTCCGACCGTGACTTAATTTTTTTGATGAAGATCTGGGTGTACCTCGTGGGTATTGTGTATTTTATCCACTCAGATGTTTTCGAAACTCAGCGGTTGCATAAATGTAAAGCAGTGCCGATTCAAATTAGAGGACCTACAGCGGAGAGACGGTAGTTGCCAGCGCGAGTGGTGAAGGCTGTCATGCTTCACTATTAGGTCATGCACTGACTACTTCCTATTCGTTTCCTCCGGAGAGATACTTGGGCAAAATGGGCGCTTTGGGGCAAGCGGTCCTCTGGCATGTCTTAACCACTATGTGTGGTCAGTTGATCAGTGCAATCAGTTCATCCATGGGAGGAGAGTTACTGGTGCGCACCGCAGCATTGTTGATACGATATTCCAATCATATCGGCGCGATTTAGCGGAGGGCACTCTTGATATTTTCGTTTCAGGGAGTAAGCTCGTCTTTTGACAATCTGTTGGGACTTAGCAGCTTCTTGGAAAGAATAAGTTGTCTATTACATGGGTCTGTTACTCGCCAAGCATGGGCGTTAGGTTCCATCCCACTCAGTCTTACAATGGAACTCTACCGTTTACAAGCACGAAATACTGTACATCGGAATTATTCAAGTCTCCAAGAAGAATAGAGCCGTATTCAAAAGTGAGTTATTTCCAACGTATTCAGCGCCAGGCGACAAACAACCGGATCACTTCATTCCCCGAGATGTTGGTCGCAGTTAGTGAAGATTAAACTAGCACGTCGATAACGAAGTTGGAGAGGAATGGCGATAGCCAGACAGTGGCCTTGCCTGACATGTATGGCGGACTCACATAGTTCGTCGAAGACGCATACCTATAAGAAACCTAGGTTCTGGAGAGATACTTCCCATTCCAGATGGTCCTAATTTCTGGTGGTTGACGGGATCAAAAACATTTATTATTTCACGGAAGACGACTATTATTAAGCTGTTGGAAAGAATTGCATTTGAAAAAAAAAAGAATTTGTGACTATACAACCTTGATCTGGGTGAAATCGGACTTCATTGTGATTCGGCTGGGGTTCAATTGAGTCTTTCATTAAAACTCTATTGGTGTACAAATAAGTGTGTATTGCGAATTTATTACGATTTCAGTTCAACTGAAATATAATGTTGACAAACCCCGGGGAATGTGCCTACTAATGAATCTCAAGATGGGCCAAGCCGATCGTGGGCCGTCAAACAGCTATCACTACGAAGACCTTATATATACTCCCTATGTCTGCTGATGTTTACACAGCCCCAGGGCTTTAGTATCTTTCCATCACTTTTAGGTGATGAAAAGTTTATTCACCAACCAACTGCTTAGTGAGATGGAGCCACCGAGGCTTTCACGCAAACTTTTGCTGGACTTAGGGAGATGTGATAACTTCTTGTCAGAGTTGGCTTTGTGGTGCGGTGTTGGATCAGTTTCCTTACCGATTACCGTTTTAAATGCAAGCGGCTTGTCATTACCGACATACAGGACATGTTGTCGTTTATATTAGATTGCTGCGTGATCGTCCAGCCTTACTCTCTACGTGAACTATTCTAGTTTCACGTGAGCTACGCTTAACCATATCTAATTGCACACTGATTGCAACGCTATTGTGCTATCGAACGGATCCATCCAGTGTGTTATTCAGGTTGCCTGTTCACATCTCTGTGTACGAGAAGCGTGATGTTACTGTTGTTGTTCGCTTTACTAGCGTGGATGTTTCGAAATGTGTTTTGTCAGTCACTGCTGACTCAAAGTTGGTTGAATGCAGTGATCCAGTAAATGAACTTTTATCTGACGACCTGGATGCACGTGTGCGTCGTGAGCAGCTGAAATATTCTGTCTGCACGTACTTCAGATCACTTATTCGCCGTATCTTTAAACTGTAAGTTTTCAGTGGGAAATCGCTGTACCTTAGTTTTTGTCCTCAAGGAATGCCAAAAGTATCTGTCTGATAGGATCGGCTAACACGAAATATCATCTTCAACCTTGGTACGGGACGTTGTCATCAACACCGGTGGTATGTTTTGAAGTGGACAAACTATCACCAGTTTACCGCAAACATTCTAAACGGCATAAGTCGCTAACTTGATCGGACGACATGTAAGGGAACTAATAGTCAAGCATTATTCGTATAAGCTTGCAACCAGGCTTTGCAGCGTCTTCATTTGAATACAAGTACGGTCATGTTGGGTTGCGCCAGTAGTACCCAAGGTTTCGTTCCTGTTATTGAAACCTTTCCGGAAATCCATGTGCCAACTCGAACAGCCTTGCTTGGCTATCGCAGATCGCTAAGATTGTCGACAACCAGCATTTGTGATCAAGACTTACCCCTGCCATATTATTTATCCAACCGGAAGCGATGTATAAATGGAGAGAGTGGGCAGTGCTGTCGAACAAGCTTTCGGAGAGCTCCTCTCGTATTCACAGTGTTGCTAGTGCAGATAACATCTTCGGATTACCGGTTTCTTTCGTCCAGTACAAAGGAAGCACGGTAGCGAAATTGTCGATCGCCTACATGTGTGAGGTGTGTTAGCTTCAAACGTTTGCGAAATCAACATAAAACAAATCGCGTGGAAAAGGATATCCACTGGTTTGTGGACTAGCCAAAGGTTGGTGTTTTAATGGCTGGGTGAGAAAAACATACGCGTAACGGGAGAAATTGACCACCGGCCTTGATTTGATATGTTCCACACATTTTACCCTTTTTTCATTGAGATTGTCCTTTTTGTATGAGAACGGAGAGAAGTGGCAAAACTGGTCCTTCATGCGAGCAGTCGGAAAGAAGTTCCTCCCATAGAAAGGTCTTGTTGCTACCCCAGCTGTTTCTTCCAACGCGTTGAAGCTCACTACGATACGTTGATAGAAAATAGACGCGTTGGCCAATGCCTTTCGGAACTGAGGTCTTGTCTGTAATAGCATGGAAAACCTTCGTGTTTTACGAAGTCTTTCACGGACTTTTTGCAGTCGGTTTCACGTGTATCAATCCACCATTGTCCTTTTAATCCCAGCAAGAATCATGATTAGGTATTGAATGACGGGGACAGGCATAACTTGATAGCCTGTGCACTCCTGCGATTTTCGAATTCATATGTCTTACGCAGGCTGATTGTCAATGTACTCTGGATATCTCAGTGGTCACGTACACAAGCTTGCTAAATCTGTCGTCGAACCACATGTGTTTTGTGCCTACTAGGAAGCCTCGTATTTCTGATGAACCATCGCTTCATTCAAAATCCACTGAATGAGTTCTTCCCAAAAATGTTTTTTTCTGGCCAACGCCAACGAAACAGTAATTTCATTCCACCCTACTCTTACCACGAGTTTGCAGTGGTTTTATCGGCAAACCTATCTCTCACCAACTCATTGGCGTGTGCAGTCTTCTCAGACCAGAGCACTATCCGTTTCCATCGCATTCCATTCCCTCCCCCCTCACACGCACGTGCGTACGCACACAACTAAAGCTACGCTTCTCACGAGTCTCTTTCGTGCGTTTCATGACCTGACGCGTCATATTTTTATGGCACCGTCTATGGTTGATGGTTGCCCTCGCTTGGTGGTCCACGCAGTTGCATGTTATGTTTTCTTTGTAGGGTACTGTGTAATTGAGAGTAACGCCAGCGTGTAGGTGCATTTAACAGACGCAATCGGGAATCACTCGATAATGGACGTCTGTCCAAACGCATCGAGTGAACCGTCACGTACAAACCAGGTAAATCGTAACAAAAATTGCGCTAACATAGTTGTTCTCAGAAAGATGAAACTAAACACACACCATTCGTATAAAAATCAATTAGGTCATTAGTGCGCACGCTAGTGAGTCGTACTTTCCTACTGAAACCTGAACGGCTTTATTCAACGCTTTTTCTAAAATCCTGCAAACCTGTCACGCCGGACCACCTGTACTCTTCGATTTTGCGCACTGAAACGGACGAAAGTGTGCATACCTATCGTGCGCACGCTGCAATCGACCATTCCCATCCGGCTCACTCCGCACTTTCTCGACTAACTACAACTTTTTCATTTGAGCTCAATGCGTAGCAACACACGTAACAATGATCTACCTATCTGCTTTCGGGGTCATGAAAGCTCTTGTCACCGGTCTTCTCTGGGCCACGTTTCCAGCTGCATTTGACTATCTAGTTCAAGTAGACACCTCTACTGTTGTACTCATTATGTGGAGCACGGATCCTTTTTGCCTCTCCAGGGTCTTATTCTTTCAGGTTTGCTTTCCTAGTTCACTCATTTGTTTGAAACTATCAACCTAGAGTGAATGAAAAAACTGCCCAGTACATTCAATGGTCATCGTTCCCTTTTCAGGAGAACTTACTAATCCACTCAATAATAAAGTGTCAGCTGTTTGCTCTATACTGTCTCAGTCTCATATCCAGCCACAGTATCGACGTACACTGTACCGTGTAGTTATGAGGAGTTGCTTAAAGACCGTTCAGTAACGTTGGTTGAAACAGTTGATTGAAAAATACAATGGACATACTTTGATCTGTCCACAGGCTCGTGTCCTAGAATTTCAAGTTGTGACCGTGATATGATAGTGGGGAGCTTTTTGACGAAGTTGCCAGACAAAGTGATCGGCGGGATACACATTCGTGTCCCCGTTGGAACTTTCGCATGCATAAGAGTGTGATTTAGAGTACAGTTTTGGTGAATAGCGTAGATAGCAAAAACAATCCGATGACATATTAAGAATTTCTGGTCTGCAGATTTTGATTGCTTCAACTCATAAGAAAATAAGTTGATGTTTTTCAGGACTCCAACCATCTGGTTCATCCCAACAAAGCTTTTCTGTGATCGTAAGTGAACGAAGCCGGAGATCAACATTTCCTTCTGAGAATGTCAATTCGGAAGTTAAACACCATTTTAAAAAATCGTTCGTCTGTAACACCTCGATCCGTGGCTGATATTTCATCCGAAGGAAGCACGAGGACTAACCTCCTGTTAAGCTGCTCAAGCCCGAACAAGGGCAGTCTGGATACCTAGGTTGGCTTTAGACCACAGACCTTCCGGATTGGATACTCGTGACCAAACCACTGAGTTATTTCGACCTCACCATTCAAGTCGTCCAGCACATACAGATTTAATTGCCTCACTCACTGCTGAATCATAGCACCCAGAGTAATGGGAGCAACTCCATCGAAGTTTGTAAACAACTAGAGGTCAATTGATCTTAGAATTTCACCGACAGCTGGCACTCTACAAGCAAGTTCATTTCATTTGGTTGAACGAAAATTCGCATCGGGCGATATCGACATATGACGCAGTGTGGAATTCATACGAAGGTTCACTAATGACACTGATGGATATCAACTGTTGATGCAAAGGTGTGATGAATCCATGTAAAGTTTTACTTCTCTGCGCGATGTTGTGTAGTGTCAGTCTTTGGAGCACTCACTCGGTAAGTGAAAGGTCGTCGGTTCGTTCTCTGTCTGGAGACTCTATCTTTTCATTTGTATTATGTGATGTCCTTATTCGAAACTTTCCAAATCTGTCTCTCCCACATTTGTAATGCTTCTACAGTCATCCGTCTTTTCAACCGTGGCAGAACTGGCACATCTGGATTTTATCCTGAAAGTTTCTCAGTGCACCCACTTGCGCAATATGAAGAAAGGTGTTGCATTTCTTTCAACTTTTTCCCTTGAGTCAACCCATCTGTAACGCACCAAGTGTTGGTTGTGATAAGAGTAACAAGTCTCATTTGTCTTTTCATAATTTAGTACCCTCGGATTTCCATTCGGTGTTACTTCAATACGCTCGAGAAGGTTATCGTGTTTTGGCGCTTGCATGGCGTCCATTGAAAATATCCTACACACGTGTCCTTAGAATACCGCGTGAACGCGCCGAACATGACCTGCTGTTTCTCGGATTCTTGGTTATGGAAAACCGTTTGAAACCAGAGAGTGCACCAGTCATCCAAACTCTCCGTAGTGCAAACATTCGGCCGGTTATGGTCACCGGTAAGTGAGGGTTTGCCTGTTGGGTTTTGTTTTGAGTTTCTCAGTAGTGTGAATGCGTGAGAAAGAACGAACCTTTGAACTAATTCTTCAGCTGTCTACTACGACACATTTTTGTTTGATCGGTTGGGACAAGGTTTCTTTGTTGCGGTTCTAGAAACAGTATCAAATACTGGCACAATATTCCCTCCATTTAATGACCCCTCCGTAGTGCCTCTGCTTCTAATGCAGCTGTGTGGCTGTGAACAAACCTAGAAACAGGCGATCCTACCCGTACTGTGACCGAATTCATCTGTTTTTCAAAATCGCTATGCGAAGAAAGCACCACACTGTGGTCTAGCTTGACTTCCTTGTGCAGCATATAACGGTCATTTTGATGCGCACATGCCTCTCGCTAATGATAATTTCACCTCAATCAAACTAACACGTGGTACCTTTAAATGCATTTGCCTGTTTTCAGATTAGTTGTAAGTGATAGGATAGCAAACACGGCGATTTACGCCCTCTTCTGTGACACCACATCCGCTCTGCCGAGACCTGTATAATGACTGTCAAATGTAGTTGTGGTGATTAGTCGTTTCACTGTTATTTCTCCAGCAATTGGCCGTTATCTAATAACGGTCTCTTCCTACTATCTTTTCGAGAAAACAAGTGAATTCAGTATTTTGTTGAGGTAGACTTATTTAGAGTGAGGTGAACTGCTGGACGGACTGGTTTTCGTGAATGACTTGCATATCCACATGACTGTATATGAGCAGCGTTCATTACAAGACCTGGACCGATAGAGTTTTCTAATTTGTATAATGCGGAATCGTTACTTGTCTTTTTTCTGAAAATGTTTTTTCCGTACTGCTATTACTTTGTACTACTTAATTCTGTACAGTCTTTTCGATTATATGCAGTTTTTTATGCCTAGGCTGGTGGATCAATCACACAAAGGGTCAAGCAAAGCAACGTACACTTGAAGTGGGTAGCCGAGGTTCTATCATAGAATGTCCAGCTCTTTTTTTATCGCTTACATCATATGCTCGGTAGCGAAAATAACCTTCTACTGTTACTCCCAAATGCATTCCTTTTTCTTCGTTTGTTGACACACTGACAAAATCAGATGATCTTTGTCTATTTTCCCACATGACTAACAGGTTTCCGTATCGCTTTTAATTCACACTGAATCACAAGAGTTTCACTAGACGATTCGCCACTGGTCGCAAAGCTAGGTGTGAAAGATCCCTCTTTGCGATATACTTTTGAGTGATCGTGATGGATATTTGAGTAAAAGAAGATGTTTCACGAGCGTGCTGTTACATGAATTGAACTCATTACTAAGTGGGATTCGTCTCCTACCGTATTATCTATCTGACCTCTTGGGTCGATGCTAAGAGTTCAGTGCTATTTTCTCATCGTTTTCAGTTCCTGGAATTCGAGCGATGTGAAATCAATGCGTAAATTGTTAATTATTTTAGCAGGCTAGTCGTGAGTATACCAAAATAAGTTTGTGCGTTTGCACATTTCCCGATATTCATAAGTTACCGTTTGTTCCATAATAAATGGAACTCACTCGATTGACTTCTTGAGCTGGTTTTATTTCTCAAGGATTTTATCGAATTGCGAACTCTTAGCATTCTCACTTCCCTATCACGCGCGTGCGGGAAGACAGGAAAACGAAAAACTGGTTGTCAGAGAGCCCTTCTAAAGAAGGAGCTCAGATTAGTGCAGGAGGAATGAGGCAATAATCTAGCCGGAATGAAAATGAAATCTGGAAATTGGTGGTTCGTAAACACTGATGCTTTCAAGGGGGGAAGATGATCGACTCGAGTAAACTAAAAACGCAGTAGAAATGGGATGATGCGCGGACCAGGGGTCCTAATTCATGAGCCTTTTTCGTGGCTCTAAACTTATTACACAACAGTCGTAAGAAAGTAAGGTTGTTATCGGACAACAGTGTTAAACCTTCGATTCATTCAGTGGCATTTTAACTTGTAGTCATAGTCTCATGATCTCCACAATGAACTTCCTATCAAGCGTCTACTTTGTCGGTGAAAAAGTAGTTGATTTCATCAACATGCCGTTGGGAACTTTGTTTTGAGTCAGAAAATATTTGGCAAAACAAGAGATAGCAGGGTCACAAAGATTACACCGGTCTATAGACTTCCCGCCTCAATAATCCCCGCATTCGACTCCCACAATCAGGTGATAATATGCTCACTGCCGTTTCGGTCGCACGAGACTGTGAAATGATCGATGAACTGGACAGAATCATCATTGTTTCTGCCAAGCCTCCTCCAAAAGTTGGCTTGTCAAGTACCAATTTGGATGATGTAGCCGCGGGAGATGTCGCCGTCGGTAGGACCGTCCCGGTCTCTTTTCCGGTGGATGCGAACTTCAGTGCCCCGTCATCCTTTGTTGCTATGGCTCACGATTCACCTCTGGTGGAATTTCACTATGCGGAGGATTTACATAAACCAGTTACCGAAGTTACCGCGACTGATGGAGGATGGCGCAACGGCCAATTGCGTCCATCCCATCCGGAAAAAGCTAGACACCGGTGGTTCCGTCGAAGGAGGAAGTCGCATACTCGGTACGTCAGTAAATTGCTCCCCATTGCCGAACTACTTGGATCGCTTCGTTTCCATGATAGGTCTTTTCGTTACCATTTTTGGCACCTGACTTTTTCGTGGACGTGGAGATATTCCAACTTTTCGAGGTTTTTCTTGTGTGAGCACGCCAGTTCTTCAATGTGCAATCCCTGAAGAGCTTTATGGTCGCTTTGCAGAGTGGAGAAATCGGTCGTCGTTGTATCCGACCTAAGAAGTTTAGAATTTTGTTCTCCTCTGGTCCTACTGATTCTACTCCCAAAGTGTATGCATGCATCATGCAGTTGGCGTATTTGGCGCATATATAATTGTGTATTCATAGAAGAAAAGCTAAACAAATCCAATTTCGTTGATATCCTACAGTTTCGCAGCGAGGCTTATACTTCGTCCAGTGTGTTGATTTAAGGCTTTGTGGTAGGGTAATGGGTATTCTGTGGTCGAATGAGAGTGTGCAGCATAATAGCTGTATATTCCCTCAGTAGACGTTTGACTGCTAAACCAAACTATCATCGTCAGATTGTGTGTGTGATGAATTTATTGTTAACTTTTCTAGCTGAACTTTCAAAGACCCTTGTAGTTTTCCAAACCCCATTCTGTGAGACAGAGCTGACACGAAGCTTCCCACATTGCTTCCTTGTGAAGCGCACTGTATTCTTTCAGTATTCAACACGGTTAGTTTATCTTCAGATGTAGCGCGACAGACGAACGCTGCGATTTCACTGCAGCGGATATCCGTGAATATCCGTGCTGGTGTATTAACCATTGTCCTTCAAATAGCATTCATGTGTAGTAATGAACCACTGGTGCTCATATGCCACTATTTCAGAAACCGCCGCTGGTTTTGCTCCAGAAATGTACAAGGTGTTATCTTGTCAGGATCATTATCTTGTTCAGTCATCTCATGGAAATACAGCTAAACCTTCCAGGAAATCCACAGAACAGTGTTCGCGTTTGTTTATTTTTTTATTTGTGCCATGCAACAGCACAAATGCGAGAAGCGACGGAATTGCGAGCCTCGAATGTGAACATATTCGTTACACCTTCCGTTAGAGCGTTTTTTTTTAAATCAGAGCCCTCCACGCACACTAGTGAATCGTGTGTGGTTCGTGAAACACTTTTCATTTAGTTTTCTAAAACGTTTGGTGACAATCGGTAGATTTATTCCGTTAGAGTTTTTTAAATCAGAGCCCTCCACGCACACTAGTGAATCGTGTGTGGTTCGTGAAACAATTTTCATTTAGTTTTCTAAAACAAAACGTGACAATCGGTAGATTTATTGCTGGGCAACGTTTCGCTTTTGACACAAAAGCTTCGTCAGGCCAAGTGACTAGGTTCCGAGGTTGATCGAGATTTAAGGCGGAAGGAGAATCAATCAGCTAAGTCAAGCTAAATCTCTGTTGGGTGTCGGCCGAGGGATTTTAGTGTGTTAGAGTGGTTGCACAAGTGTTGGGTCGGTGGGGAAACCTACATGTGTTTGGGTCCTGCCTTCTACTGTTACTCCCAAATGCATTCCTTTTTCTTCGTTTGTTGACACACTGACAAAATCAGATGATCTTTGTCTATTTTCCCACATGACTAACAGGTTTCCGTATCGCTTTTAATTCACACTGAATCACAAGAGTTTCACTAGACGATTCGCCACTGGTCGCAAAGCTAGGTGTGAAAGATCCCTCTTTGCGATATACTTTTGAGTGAGCGTGATGGATATTTGAGTAAAAGAAGATGTTTCACGAGCGTGCTGTTACATGAATTGAACTCATTACTAAGTGGGATTCGTCTCCTACCGTATTATCTATCTGACCTCTTGGGTCGATGCTAAGAGTTCAGTGCTATTTTCTCATCGTTTTCAGTTCCTGGAATTCGAGCGATGTGAAATCAATGCGTAAATTGTTAATTATTTTAGCAGGCTAGTCGTGAGTATACCAAAATAAGTTTGTGCGTTTGCACATTTCCCGATATTCATAAGTTACCGTTTGTTCCATAATAAATGGAACTCACTCGATTGACTTCTTGAGCTGGTTTTATTTCTCAAGGATTTTATCGAATTGCGAACTCTTAGCATTCTCACTTCCCTATCACGCGCGTGCGGGAAGACAGGAAAACGAAAAACTGGTTGTCAGAGAGCCCTTCTAAAGAAGGAGCTCAGATTAGTGCAGGAGGAATGAGGCAATAATCTAGCCGGAATGAAAATGAAATCTGGAAATTGGTGGTTCGTAAACACTGATGCTTTCAAGGGGGGAAGATGATCGACTCGAGTAAACTAAAAACGCAGTAGAAATGGGATGATGCGCGGACCAGGGGTCCTAATTCATGAGCCTTTTTCGTGGCTCTAAACTTATTACACAACAGTCGTAAGAAAGTAAGGTTGTTATCGGACAACAGTGTTAAACCTTCGATTCATTCAGTGGCATTTTAACTTGTAGTCATAGTCTCATGATCTCCACAATGAACTTCCTATCAAGCGTCTACTTTGTCGGTGAAAAAGTAGTTGATTTCATCAACATGCCGTTGGGAACTTTGTTTTGAGTCAGAAAATATTTGGCAAAACAAGAGATAGCAGGGTCACAAAGATTACACCGGTCTATAGACTTCCCGCCTCAATAATCCCCGCATTCGACTCCCACAATCAGGTGATAATATGCTCACTGCCGTTTCGGTCGCACGAGACTGTGAAATGATCGATGAACTGGACAGAATCATCATTGTTTCTGCCAAGCCTCCTCCAAAAGTTGGCTTGTCAAGTACCAATTTGGATGATGTAGCCGCGGGAGATGTCGCCGTCGGTAGGACCGTCCCGGTCTCTTTTCCGGTGGATGCGAACTTCAGTGCCCCGTCATCCTTTGTTGCTATGGCTCACGATTCACCTCTGGTGGAATTTCACTATGCGGAGGATTTACATAAACCAGTTACCGAAGTTACCGCGACTGATGGAGGATGGCGCAACGGCCAATTGCGTCCATCCCATCCGGAAAAAGCTAGACACCGGTGGTTCCGTCGAAGGAGGAAGTCGCATACTCGGTACGTCAGTAAATTGCTCCCCATTGCCGAACTACTTGGATCGCTTCGTTTCCATGATAGGTCTTTTCGTTACCATTTTTGGCACCTGACTTTTTCGTGGACGTGGAGATATTCCAACTTTTCGAGGTTTTTCTTGTGTGAGCACGCCAGTTCTTCAATGTGCAATCCCTGAAGAGCTTTATGGTCGCTTTGCAGAGTGGAGAAATCGGTCGTCGTTGTATCCGACCTAAGAAGTTTAGAATTTTGTTCGCCTCTGGTCCTACTGATTCTACTCCCAAAGTGTATGCATGCATCATGCAGTTGGCGTATTTGGCGCATATATAATTGTGTATTCATAGAAGAAAAGCTAAACAAATCCAATTTCGTTGATATCCTACAGTTTCGCAGCGAGGCTTATACTTCGTCCAGTGTGTTGATTTAAGGCTTTGTGGTAGGGTAATGGGTATTCTGTGGTCGAATGAGAGTGTGCAGCATAATAGCTGTATATTCCCTCAGTAGACGTTTGACTGCTAAACCAAACTATCATCGTCAGATTGTGTGTGTGATGAATTTATTGTTAACTTTTCTAGCTGAACTTTCAAAGACCCTTGTAGTTTTCCAAACCCCATTCTGTGAGACAGAGCTGACACGAAGCTTCCCACATTGCTTCCTTGTGAAGCGCACTGTATTCTTTCAGTATTCAACACGGTTAGTTTATCTTCAGATGTAGCGCGACAGACGAACGCTGCGATTTCACTGCAGCGGATATCCGTGAATATCCGTGCTGGTGTATTAACCATTGTCCTTCAAATAGCATTCATGTGTAGTAATGAACCACTGGTGCTCATATGCCACTATTTCAGAAACCGCCGCTGGTTTTGCTCCAGAAATGTACAAGGTGTTATCTTGTCAGGATCATTATCTTGTTCAGTCATCTCATGGAAATACAGCTAAACCTTCGAGGAAATCCACAGAACAGTGTTCGCGTTTGTTTATTTTTTTATTTGTGCCATGCAACAGCACAAATGCGAGAAGCGACGGAATTGCGAGCCTCGAATGTGAACATATTCGTTACACCTTCGGTTGGAGCGTTTTTTTTTAAATCGGAGCCCTCCACGCACACTAGTGAATCGTGTGTGGTTCTTGAAACACTTTTCATTTAGCTTCATTAGACCCTGTCAGCTGCCTACCTCGGTGGGGCGTTGTAGTGGCAAGGCTGTCAAAATAAACAAAGGGTTTGCAGCATTAGGTTTCGCACCAGCTGCGAAAGTGATAAATTGGAGTTGAAACGTAGTCAGTGTTTTGCGAGCCTGATGCTATAGAAGCCGGTGTGAGGTTTGATCCAGAAGGGTGCCTTTTACTCGATTCGGGGGCGCTCCTTTAGACAGTTTCAAAATAACGGAAGTACGAGCGATTCGCTTGAGCCTGGTTGCTCCTTGTTTCGGTACCGGCGCTGTCAGAGCCAGGTAAGAGGCTTTCCACCAACCAGCGAACAGATACGTGGCTGTTCAGCAACAAAGCTCTACTGGATCGGGACTATAAGCCTTGCCCCACTTCACTTGCCTCATGTCCTTATACACATTCTGTGCTCTCCGTCATACTGGGTAGATAATGCCGTGTATGGGTTTGACAGGCTAAAATACGTCACATTTGAGTTTATCAGAACCAAAAGAACTCAACTTTGTCCTCAGCCATACATCTGCTTCACGGGCCTTCATGTTTCACGGCAGCTTTTGTTGCCGAGACCCGCTTTGAAATTGATTATATTGGACGGCTGGACTTCCTGTCTACTTGCCTAAGCTGTCCGGTCACTGTGTACTTTCATATTTTGTAGGCTTACTCCTTTTTACTTCGTAGCTGCTTGAAGATAGGAGAAGTGGACTTGCTAGTGCTAATGATGGTGGCCTCAACGGCACAACTTAGGTTAAGGCAAGAGTTCAGATGCTGACAATATGTTCAGTGATTGTCTGGTTAGCAGCACCTTTCCATATTGTGTGAAGGTTTTCCATAAAATAGATCTGTTCCCGACATACACCATCCGCAACAAGCTGGATACATACCGATCCGAGGACTCAAGTGAAATGCGCATGTAAGAACGGTACATTATCATTTTTGCCTACAAATACAAACACAGTTTGACCTCCAGTCGTGTGGTGAAACGCAATATTGGTTAAGCTCAAGGAAGTGTAGTAGAGGTAAAAGTACTGTACAAGATACCGCCAACTGTACAAAAAAGTTCGACTCAACTACACTGTGGTCGTGGCGCGCACAGTTCTGAAAGTGGAGTAACAAGTACAATGCATAATTTTGTGAAGATTATTTATTTATACTTACTCAGAAAGCCCGGGTTGTGTTTCTGATTGAAATAACTGCTGTATCGGATATAACATGTTCGAGACGACACCAGGCTTTTTTCACCCAGGTGATCACATCACCTCTGCAACTAACGCTGACATGACGATCAGTGCGAAGCAAACGGCACCCCAGCTGACTGTTACAGTCGTCCGATGGTGAGCGCAACAAGTTTTCTGAGAGCACATAACTCCATTATTTCTTTATTGCTCCGGGGACAAAAGTTCGGATGAGTGTGTGATCTTTCTTGGTACTTAAGTGAAGGTCACCCCGGAAGTATGCATTCTTCCGGGTTGTGTGAGCCCAAATACAAGTATTCAATGAATATGGTGTTTTTAGTTTGTCTAACATTCTTGAAAGGTGCTGAATTCCTTATCCAAATGCGCTCGAAAACACTTGAGTGAAGGTCGCCCCGGGAATATACATACTTCCGGGTTGTGTGAGCCCAAATACAAGTATTCAATGAATATGGTGTTTTTAATTTGTCTAACATTCTTGGGAGGCGCTGAATCACTTATCCAAAGGCGCTCGAAAACACTAGGGGCTTAGACAACTGGTGTTGGAAAAAATGCATCCTATCACCCTGAAAACTATGTAACGAAACATGGGGTTCCGTTGGAGCGAAAAGTAAGATAATACAGTGAAAAAGTCCGAACCTCGGGTGCATTCTCACTCTGAAGGCTCGACCATCATTGGTCGCCTTATTTCGGAATTCGTTGATTTTTTATCACTTTCGCTCCAAACGTCTAATCATCAATCAGGATGAATTATCACGAAGTCGCGACGCTGCACACCGATGGCACCACCTCGGTTGGTGGTGAAACGTTTTTCACGGAATTGCCAGCCTCAACAACTACACTACCTTAACTGGAAATGCATTAGCGAAGATCTCACTGTTTTATCATTTTTACGCACTTTCATATCTGTCTTCGAACTCAGTAACATGAAATCTACAATTTAGTCAGTCGATTTGTGAACGAATTAATATGAAATTTTGTGGGTCTCTGCATTCCAATAATTGAATTTCAATAAATTGCATTCAAGTGCCTCCGTAAAGCTTTCATCGTGTGTTCGTTTTCGAATTTAAGAGTCTCAACTTACGCAACTGTCCCTTCCTCTTCCAGGAGCCCAGTTACCGTTACTGTGAATGTGGACGATGGTGCCGCGGAGAACGATCATGTTATTGATGCCACCCATTCGCATCGGGTCAACATACGAATGATCGATCGCCCGGATTTTCACCTTGCTATTTCCGGAAAAACATGGGGTGTTATTAAAGAGCATTATCCGTGGCTCATTCCTAAGGTTCGTTTATCCTCGGGAATAGTTTGTGACTGCCGTCATCCTGTACTTCTAGTCTTTCTATTTTATATACTTGACACATGAAGGTTAATGACAATGCAACAGCATCATATGCCCCTGGGCCAACTCGTTCTTTTATTTTAGCTTATTGTGGGCCCGAAACTTACTTAAAGCCCCTTTTTTGTCGAGGTCACACATTACCCCCAAATCTGTTCTACGCCACACCTCAAAAAGTCACAGATCCCGATTTGCAGTCATACATTGCTTGGCGCCGCTCGCTTCTATGATCTTCCACAGAAACCCTGCCTCCAAATGTTGTAGTTTCTCGTACAGTAGTCTGCCGCACAAAGACTCAACCGCCTAAGTGGTCTTAGTTTGGGAGGAATCTCTCTCGAGAGGACACCACCTGTCAACCTTATGAGCGCATAACAGTTTACGCACGTTAAATGTTGCGAACAATATATTGGTAGACTGATTCTGTTCCATTGATATTAACTCTTCTACAACACCAGAAGCTTTCCTATAAAGACCAACTTGGTTATCCATCCAAAATCACCACAGTAAAGGCCAGTATTATTCCATTACTAAGTCGCCTTCTTACACTCACACTTGTAAATGCCCGTTATTAACCACTTTGTCTAAGAGAGGGCGAGATTCAGGTCGCTCTTATTAATCAAATTTCTATTGTACGCTTCTACTAAGACTGACAAAACAATTAGTCGCTTGCGATTGTGCTCTGAACTCAGATGGACCTGTCAAGTGGATTTCAAGAGAAAGTGCAGTTTTTTCCTAGAAGACAAGTAAAAGTCCATGTGCGGTGTGAACATCTTTTCGTGAATAGGACGAACGTCATGGACACTTCCGGATCACTGAGAACATACAGTGCTAGGCACATAATAACAGCACTAGATCTTGAGCCAGTCTGTTTCAATTGGCCAATTAAGGTCAGGAAATTGGAATCCGGTTCAATGGCGCATCCGTCAGCATTTCCGATACCACGCTATGCGTTTCAAACGGCTGACTGTTCTACTGGCGTCATAGAACTTCTCCTCTCTACAGTCTTCCTCTTTGTCAGAAGGGATACTTGATTCTTTCGTACGAAACACCGATGATAGTTTTCTCCACCCAATCTGCGTAGAACCAGACAAAACCTAAGCTATTCTCTTTGGACTTAGTTCATTGAGGTCAAAGCGAGTCGGTCCATTTTCTAAAGAAGTAAAATGTCTAAGATGTCGTCAGCTTTGTTATCACTTGGTGATCTTCCCGACCGCTGTCCTCGTTCAAAATGTGTAACACAAACCCCACTTCTCTGAATTATTTCATCGGTATATTGGAATGACCTGTGTTCCAGGCTTATCGAGTGGAATTCTATGTTAGTGACATCCATGCGCTGCAACGAATCACTTTCAACGCTGTTTTATGCGGCTAACCTCACAACCGAGCAAAACGACTCGAAACGCATATTTACATAATCAGTTTACCTCCTGGTCCGTTAGCTGAATAATCGATATGCGATTTCCAGACAAGCATATTAAGTGTGGGTTGGGAACCACACATCCTGTGCGAAGGGGTACTGATGACGAATACTGTGAGGGAGCCACCCCCCAGGTTACATCTTGTAGCCATCTCCGGAACAAGAAGAAACCGCTAGTAATTAACATTGATGATCGCAGGTAACTTTTGATCAGTCTGACACTAAAGCAGTTCTCTACAGATTGTTTTTTTAAAGAACAAGCTACAGATTTCTGAATGACTTTTGAGTGCGACTTCTTTTCACGATTGTCTGACTTTGGCATGACCATCAAACACTTAGCCGTGCGAGATAATCCCATGCTCTCGATAGAAATCAGGACACTGTGAACATACAACTCACCGGCGATTTAAGCCGCAGTGAATCATGTTTATTTCGCCTATTCTCACTAATACTGCCTCATTTACTAACACGAAAGATGGGTTATCATTCTTTCCATCACAATCATTAGTCACATGACCTCCTCTAGATTGACATATGAGTCCGCTGCGTCGTCATCAGTGACGCACTCATGCTGCGCATTCGTAACCATCCAGCCACATGCGAATCACGTCGGTTAGGTTAGTATATCGCTACTACCCTTGTTACACCGTTTGAGTCAAAACCGAGTCAACAAAACTAAAATGCAATCAGGAGATCGTCGTTTCACAACAGAAAGGTAAACAATCGGTAGACGTATTGCTAGTCAACGTTTCTCGTCTGGCAAAAGGCGTCGTCAGTTTGTTAGGGATTTCATGCCAACTTAAGACCCATCGGCAAGACCTATTTCGACCAGCACGCTAAATCACTGTTAAATGTAGGTTAAAAGTTACTGCCGATTAGATCAGACCTACCGACGACGGGGGCAGTGAGATTTAGCATCCATTTGCTGTTGCTTAGGAGCCTTGTTCTTCCGTGTAGGTTCACTGCGATTGCTGAATCCTCCTGAATGTTGTTTACTTTTTTGGTTTGTGTGAAAACCATAAATTCCTTGTTGATTCAGTGATTTACGCTCAACAACATGATCTAGAGGTGGATTCCTCGCTTTCTACCTAGATCCTTACGAAGCATTTCGGACAAAATGCTTTGGTCAGGTTTCTATACCCGCTAGATATTTTGAACGAAAAATGTGGATGACACCGTCGTCAACGAACCTCAGCGTTGCCTGACTCATATCCAATCCATCATAGACATGGGGTATACTCCGAGCGCACTATCCTTTATGGACACCATGGCAACTGAGACGAATGGCCCATTCCAGAGTATCATCTCATCAGTTGTTATCCGACTAATGGTCGTGCTCACATGAGTTGACCGAATGGCAGTCTAAACTGTTACTCATGAGCTTCTTAGAAGCAATAATGAGTAGGTTGATGCTACGGTATTTCTCACAAGATCTCACGCTTTTCTGAAGTAAATAAACAGTAACTATGGCTATCCAGCTCGTTTAATTGAACATCAATTTGGAAGGTAATTGGTGTGCGTGAACAAGCATACCAGAGAATTGATCGGTGACGGTGATGACTTAAGAACCGCGTTTTAGGGGGGAAACATTGTACTCTGAACCGGCGCGGTTTAAGGATCACTAAGGGCTAGATCCGCAGGGTTTAATGCAACACACAGACAAACTAAAGACACTCGCTGCAGAATGGGTGAGCCAAAGCAGACCAGCAAGAAATGCGGGTGAAGACTAAGCACCAGTCAACGATTTAGCTATTAAGGACATACAGTAAACATGGAAAAACAAATAGGTCTATATAGTGTTAAATTTTCGACGGGGAGTTTTGTCACAGTGACTGGTTCTCGGAGCGGTAGAAGTCGCCAGACATCCTAGTGTCAGAAAATAATAGACAGTACTGGCAAGTGTGTGGGGATCCTTTTCAGATCCGCTGACTCGACGCGTGGCGATGTGGGTTTGTTTGTGAGCAGAAGTTATCGACAGAATAGGCCTGGATGTGAAGTTCGTAGATCGTGCCGACTGAAATTCAGATCCTCTCATCTCTTAACAAAATTATCGTGGCACAAACGAAGATGGTAAGCGACATCCGATGTTATCAACTGTAGTGTCAGGTCCCAAACAACACCTGTTCCACCAGTTGGCCGTTGGACCTTATCGACCATACTAACCAGCAGGAACTTTTAACCGGCATTCAACACTGATTTAGTGTGGTGGTCGAAAGAGGTTTTTGCTCATTGGTTCTCCTCAAAACTCGACCAACCTGATGATCCATTCCCAGCCTAAGGAAGCCTTCATGTTGGTTAACCCTAAATCCACCGATTGTTTACTAAACCGTTCTAGAATCGGTTATTAGTCTCACATAGAATGCTCGTGTACGAGCTTGATTGTTCGCTAGCCGCCTTGGACAATTTTGGAAAATACTGATCAACTCTAGTGCCAGAACGCGAGCCAAGACAAACGCTCCTGTTAGTTTAATGAAATCTGAAAACTACGATCTACTTCACCTGGGTTGTTGAAACACATCACTAGAGCATGTTGTTTGTGGTCGCTCATGATGGTATGCAAATAATCCACAGAGACATGCGTAAACTCCCCTTGCTGTGTTGAATTGGTTCCTCTTGTGACAGTGATGTATGCCACACTGATGTACACTCCATTGATTACACACAGATCTAAATTAGCTGCCGTCTTATTTCATCTGAGCACAATCACGTTAGCACTGAAACTGGAACTCGTTTTGCTTGCTACCAAGTAGGTTGTGTTAGTTTAGAGGAGTGCCTTCTCATGGCAATCGCTACTTTTAAAACCCCACAGGATATTCACCGGCCTGTCTATCTCCATTGATTAGTACTCCTCCCAACTATTCTAAGGAATGGATGATACTTCCAATAGGTAGTGATAGAATTTTTTAGCCATCCAGTGCAATAAGTTTACAAAACCTGTTCCGTTGGTATTGCTGGGAGGGTTCATTCGATCGACCTAACCAAAGCTTCATCCGCACTCAACGTGCGTTGGCCCGTTAAACTTGATAAGCACAAGCATGGCTACGGTAACCATCTAAACCGACTGAGAGAACGATACCTAATTAGCTTCTCCATATTCTCACCGGGGCATTAGTGATAGCTGAAAAACAAGGTTGACCCAGAACTTGCAGTTGTAAACTTATCAATTATCTGTGGAAACTATTCCCCAGAAGATTTTGAGGACTGCTACTTTCAGGCGTGCATCGTTTTCGTGATCTCCCTGAGATGGTTACGATGTAGATAATTGGATCGTAGCTAACACGCGACTATCGAATTCGTCCTTTTCCAATTTGCTAGTACTGGGCTTATGGGCGGTAGATAGTGCCTTACTCCGTATAAATGTATTGTAATAAGTAGATAGAGAGATGATAGAGACTGTCGCGAACTATCTTTGCAGCGGTGTATACTACTGGTGGGGCATGTGAGTAGTGTCTGGTCCGGTGTCCAAGCTCCGCCGCCGATGGGAGGTGAAGGCCACTACGGAAATTATGGAACTGCTCTGAAATGTTTGTTCATCATTGTTCAATACTGTGCAGGTGGGATATTTACCGCTTAGTTCGTGTTTGGGAATAAACAACTTCACGGCGAAGGACGTTCCTCCTTTCGTTTGCAGTATTCATATATTTGTGTTTCTTTTATATACTAATACTCTTGGATGTGCAAAAGCGAATCGCTTAGAAGGTCATGTATCAATTGCGATCTGCCATTGGAGGAAAGTAGTTCGCTTGTTTTCATAGTCTACATCACATCAGGCTTCCTTCTTTAGGCGAGCTAGTTCAGCCGCGTGGTTGAGCATTTCTGTAGTTACGTGACGTTGGTGTTTTAGTTACATTTATACTACTTGTAGCACTAAAAAAGCGCAAGACATTGTGAGATTCTTTAGAGTAGCACTGTTTCTTGACCCATTTCGTCTGATGTCTTGCATACTTGAATGCAATTGATTTATCCTGAGAACGGTGTCATCCGACCGAATTGTTAATTCCACTGGTTGCATGTCTCGCCTATTTTCAAAGGGATCACATGACTAGTCACCAATGACAGATATGGTTTGCGCTAATCTCGTCATAATTTTGTTTATACTCCATCTGAACTTCAGATAAATCATTGAATGCGCAATATTCCTTTTGATTCTTGTTTGGAGTTTGAAATAATAAATGCTAATTCATGTCATGTAAATTTCCTCATTTTCGTGCGTGAAACTTTCACTGCACCTCTCTCTCACTTAACTTAGCTGGTCGTTAAGGGGACGGTGTTCGCTCGCTTTTCTCCTGATCAAAAAACGCAGTTGATCGAGGCACTGCAGTCAGTGGGGTATTTCGTGGCTATGTGTGGAGATGGCGCAAATGACTGCGGCGCCCTCAAGGCCGCTCACGCCGGCATTTCTCTCAGTGAGGCGGAAGCCAGCGTTGCCAGCCCGTTTACGTCAAAACAACAAAATATCGGTTGTGTGCCTACGCTGGTCCGCGAGGGACGCTGTGCTCTGGTCACAAGTTTCGGCACTTTCAAGTTCATGTGTGGTTACTCACTAGTCCAGTTTTTTACTACTCTCTTACTCTACACGGTGAGTTCCGATTACTTTTGTTGTATCCGACCCACTTCTACTCGGTAAAACCTTTCTTAGAATTACTTTCATCACACCTTTTTTCTAATTTTGTTCACCATTCGCTAATCTCATAACATTCTAGATGCAATGGCCCGAACTCACGCAGGATTTAGTCTCATTTTTTAACCGTTCATCGCAATCAGGTTATCAAAAACGCTAGCCATCAAATGTGGACGACGACCGTTTCATTATGATGTGGCTGACCTTGCGAACACGTGTCCTCTGTGTTATCCACCCTCTTCCATTACTCCTTTATTCGAAATCCTGTTCCACATTGTATTTAAGTTGTTCCGCATACGGCTCGGTGCTGCAAACTGCATCTACACCACGCTAGGTTCATTGACAAACTGAGGTTTACCCATCGTTTTTTCCCGCCAATCTGAAGGACTTAGCAATCCGAATTTCGCTTTCATTCTGCACCACCTTAGAGCGCCCAAATCGAATTAGTTTCCTCTAAGTGTAAGAAGGCCTCTAAAAATCACGTCCCCCGTATATCTCTTCAGTTCGAAATTCTTGTATTTCCCATCGTTTTTGTCCAGTTAGGACGTTCATATTCTTCGACAAGGTCTAACATCAACAAAGCCGCGCAACACAATCATGCGTCCGTCACCGTTTTTTTCACCGCAACTGCATTCCTCTCAGGTGACCCCGAATGGATGTTCCTCGGCAGTCGATAGACTGTGAGAAATCAATCGCGGAATGTACGAAAAGTATTGACTTGTGTAAAAACAGTAAAAAGTGCAAAATAGGCGCTACAACACGGCAGGATCAGCCCATGATACCGCCCCGTTGATAAACATTTTAGTAGCATTTTCCATTCATTTTACTCCAAAACCTCTATGCTATACTTTCACTGAGTGTACACATAACCTTTTGATTGGGACTTCTCCATCCGTATTGGGCGGTAACCATCAACTCACGTTTTGGGTCTTGTGCCTTGGTACATTGGCTGTTTTGTGTGCCCCGCCAGGTCTCAGTATTGTGGCCATTAGGTTCACTGCTTTTATGAAAAGGGACCGAAGCTAGCTGTTGTCGGTGTAAGAGGCATGGAGTACTTACTGCCTTATCCCCTTCATATCTTCCACTTGCTGTGGGCAAGTGGTTCGAATAGAGGCCCCTTCCTTGGAGAACACGCAGCAGCATTTCCGATTTGTCAGGATACTATATTTTTCACCCGAACACAGACATCCCTTTCAGGGCTGTTCATTTACCCAGAAATGGTTTGTCTTTAATGACGATGGTCTACCAGAAACCACCCTTGCGGCCGTTTGTTTTGTTCGACGGAATATCAGATTGATGGTTAGGTAAAACAACTCTAATGTTTGGTTTCCAAAATGTAGGGAAGGAAATTTTGCCTCCACCAAAACTTTTCTCATATGATCTCTGTATTGGAAACAATAAACAAAAGTTTTTTTCCCAACATTTGAGATGGCGTTCACATATCCTTTGCTGCAACTGGATGTCTTTGCACGTCCCTTATCACTGATCGTGGCTTGTCACCTTATCACAATACCGCGTTGTAGGACTTGGCCACGTTTCTTTTGGCGAATTTCACAATAATTGGACAGCGCAGTCATGAGGGTCTTAACTGTACATCCAAGCTTTCTTCGTCATCAAGTCCGGCCGCAAACTCAACGTTGATAACGGGGGGCAGGTTTGTGCATACTAAGAGCACAAGTCCTCATGTAATGAACGGTCGTAGGTTCTAGACACCCTCAACATCTACCATCCACCATATCTTTTCAGCTAGGAGTATGTGTTGACAGTTTCCTTCATAGTCGATCAATTTATCTTTAGGAGTTCGCATACGGTGCCCTAATAAGGGAAAGAAATTTGGAAGGGACATCTTTGATCGCCAGATGCTGCCAAAGTTGCTGACGATCGATAGAATCAAATGCAGCTTTCAGATCCAGAAAAACAACCAACGCGGGATGTCTGAAGAAGTGGCGCTGTTCAGGAATTTGTCTCAAGGTAATATACAGTCGATGCATCCTCGACCAGGGCGAAACCCAGCTTGATTCTCACGAATCTGTCTCTCGAGATAATTTATCAAGCTGCGCAAAATAATGCCATAGTGGTCGTTGGCTTGTTCGCTGAGCTGGGCAATTTGATTGCAAAGGTACAACCACCAACCCACCGCTACGCACTACTACGCTCCACAAAAACGCACTGATGATGTCACCTCGATTGGTGATGAAACGTTTGCAATCAAATTGCCCAGCTCAGCGAACAAGCCAACGACCACCTACGATGCCTGAGCTACCAACATTTTCCTCTATAGATAATGCTAGAGTGCACCTTAAATGCGACCGATACCAGGCTGATACCACGATAGTTTTCACATGACGTTCTTGCTCCCTTTTTGAAAACTGGGATGATGGTCGATGAGCTCCATTCGGCTGGTATTCTGTTTGCGTTCCGAATCTTCTGCAGTATGGTCGTTAGACTGTTCACCAGGACCCCGCCACCTGCTCTGAAGGGCTCGGGTTTAGATCATCCCGGGCAGACGCCTTGTCGTGCTTCAGGATTGAAATCTGAAGTTAGTTTTCGGTTGCTGATGGTGGGTTGGTGTCAATGTTCCCCTCGGGCCCATTCGGTTATTCCAGTGGTTGTGTTGAAGAAGACCAGGTGAACTGTTTGAAGTGCTCAGCCCATCGCTCAAGACGGCAATTGAGGGAGTGATTGCTGTTCCGTCTTTTTCGCATATTGTCTCACTGAAACCTGTCTTCTTTTGACCCGTTAATCGGATCACTTGAAACAGAGCGCGGCTGTTGTTTGCAGAGAAAGCCTACTCCATCTCCTTGGCCTTCGAAATCCACCGGTGTTCCCTATCATTCTTCAAGCTCCTGTTTACTTGGTGTTTGAGGGATCTGTGTGCGCCATCGTAGTTGCTAGTTGCTGAAATGGTTTTTTGGCAGCAACAAGATCTTATCTCGAAGATGTCCAGTGTTCATTGAGTCGAGTCAGATGGGTTGGATGAACAGCTCTGAAAGCTGACAGCATTGCTTCTTTAACTCGCTTCCATTCATCCCTCATATAATCTTCGTCGTCTACATGACTGTGCGTTTCTTGTAGCTTTCTAGCCAGATCAGCTCGATACTCTTTAGCTGCTGAAACTTGTCGAAGTTGATGAACATAACTGCTCTCTTTCGACACGCGCAGTGCTGTCGAAGTTCGGAGCCGCATGATAGCTTGGTCAGAATCAATTTGCGTACCCCCGGAAGGAACGACAAACTTTAACTGAGGCTCTCTATCGGTAACTGATAGCCCTATGGTCCAATTGGGTCAACGAATGTCTTGTGGTAGGTGGCCTCCAAGCAACTCGGTGTGTGCGTTTGTGTTGGAAGTTTGTACTGGCCAGGAACAGACGATGATCTGCACACAACTGAAAAAGCCGCTCTCCATTATCCGTACGCTCAGCATCGACTCCAAATCGACCACCTAACCGTGCTTTTTCCGGACACAGTCGTCCGACTTGGGCATTCATATCACCCGTCTGGATTACTGTATCCGTCCTTCTTGCCGACTGAAGCAGTCGTGAGAGATCTTGATAAAACTCGTCCTTCTCTGTCTCCGAACTTTTATCTGTTGGGGCGCATGCTGATACGACAAACAAACACCATTTGCCACATCAACTTGCATTAATCTTATTTGAGCCAGACAACCGCACAGCGCAAAGGCGACTGTTTACTGCAATCCACTCCAGTAAGGCGCTTCCAACCTTGGGGCGGAGTTCAACTCCCACACCGTAGATACTACGAGCCGTTGCGTCAGGATCACCGGATATCCGAAGAGTGAAATGTGGAACATCTGGGCTCGTCCTTAGCGGCTTGAGGAGCACCACCTGAGTGAGGTCTTTGTAGTAGTATACCAGCTCTCGTCATTCCTTAGGGTGGCATGGCAGGTAAGCACAAAAAGGAATGCAGTAGCCTTCAAATTTACTGATCGGGCTGCGGACCAAAACGCGTGTGTTTTACCGAACGTTTCGCTGCGTTTTTACGAGTCTTTTCGTTTCTGCACGAACCTCATTAAGCAAAGTAGATGAACATTCTTATCCGTGTTTTGCTGTAGTCTCATACTTTAATTCGAATTGCTGTGAGGTATACTTGTTGCTTCTGGCTAATTTGTATTTTTCTCGATGGTTCACCATGACATTCGTTCGATTTTGTTGTTTGTTGGGTTTCGATGGTGAAGATCAATTGGTCAGGTTTGGGATCCCTATTTACGAGCCTGTCTACCTATTAGTTGCGTAGTCTTGATGTTCTGTTCCTTTTATTCTTCTAACTTCACTGTCGTGAAGTTTACGAATAAATCAATATTAAATTGGTCGGAACATGCCCATCATCCTGCCGTTCAGAGCCTTCTTCATGGCTTTGAGCTGTCTAGAATGCCAATACCCGTGTTTGATGACATTAGACTCATATTTACATCACTCTCGTTTGAACAATCGTCCTGGCGTAGTTATTCTGATGAGTCCACACCAAAGGGGGAGCACTGGACTCGAGTTTCGCTCTTACGAGATCTCATCAGCAGTACATATCCAATGTTCGTGCCGAAGTTTGAACCCCGGATACCTGATATGCGAGGCAAGCGCGTTACGACTACTGCATCAGCGTAAGTTGGACTCATCCGAATTTTCACGTCTGAACAGGCGGACGTCTTCACGCTTGAGCGATGTGATTGGGGTACCTGACTTATCATCGAAACGACGACCCAGTAACTGTCAAATATCAAAAGAGTTATCCAGCGGATTTCAAGCGTCTGTGGCGCCACCTGACTGGGAAGTCCTGACAGGCGTGTCAATCGATCGTCAGAACCAGGAAGAGATGTTTGCAAGCCAAGTGCTAATTTTGGCGGGCTGATCAATTGGCAGCTTGCCAACGACGTATTAGATAACTAGATCAACACATCCAACCCGTAATTTTCTCAGTAGAAGCTTTTACAACCTTTGAACTGCTGTTTATCTACAAGCCATGTGTTTCCGCACCCTAATTGGACTGTAGCGTAATCCAGTTGAATCAGTGACCCGTCGATTCGCTTACCCTTCTGTTTATTTACATTTCTAGCCTAGTGTCTACCCTGACTGCCGCCTAAATTTGCAATGTACCAGTCAGCCACTTTGAACAATCTAAAAATAAGCCTTGTTCGCTACTTTCGTTTTTACCCCCCAGCTAATTTTCTTGGAGTTGCAACATTTCTCCAACAAAGTATCTCTACTCCTCACTGAGTATTGAATTGCAATCTCGGAACGAAAATGAAAGTATTCAGGATAATCTTAGTTTTCTAGATCTTATCGCAAACCACTCCACTACTTTTCGATTAACATATGAGTCCTCTGAATTTCCGCTTATGCAGATCGGGAGTAACATCACGGATCCTCAATTTCTCTTCATCGATCTCTTCCTCATTACCACGCTTAGTGTGACATGTAAGTGGCATCGTATCTTATCCTTGTACTGCGCTAATCTCAGCTGTATATTTGATCCAAGCTCATAACATTCTTCCACTGCTATTCATCTACCAAGACGACCTTTTTTGATGGTTCAGTGTAAGGCTAACAATTTAATGTGATCCTTCTGGGACGTGGGTGATGATACTACAGCGTATTCAAGCTCTTCCTTTTGTATGCCTTCAGACTTTATTCTTCCCATCTACCTTTAGGAATATGCTAATTCAGATTCTAGTGGAGTGGTGCCGTCGATAGAATGGTGGCTGAAGGACTCCTGCTTCAGTAATAGTCCCAGATACCGTTGGGTTATCCGGTTGACTCTTTATATGGTGTTAAGATCGTATAAATCTTCAAGGTCGCTTGCTGGTTGATAACGTCTATTCTATTCCCTTTAACATGTTCCCTCACACACATGAGTGCCATGTGAGGCGTTTATCCCTAGTGATAAGACTATTCTCACTTATTTGCCCTTAATCTGACTTGCATACGGAAGTAAATACTTAATCAGTAATGCACGCCATCCTAGCATTCATCCGTGTCGTTCGATGCATGAGTTGGTTCAAATCTCAACACCTGTTTAGACGCGTGAATGTGCTTGTTATTCACTGTTTTCACTTCCAGTGCTTTTCTCAATTTTTCAGTTTAGCTATATGACCTGTTGGTCGTGAAACTGCATGTATTTGTGCCTTTGTGTCGCTCAACTGGGGGTCTGTCAATTGGTGGTTGTTTAGGAATCGATGTCCACCATATAGATAATGGGGAACGGTTGCCCCACTTATGTGGCTTGTACTCTCTGTCCATAGCCAATACTAGCGTTCAGCACAGGCGTTTACATTGTCATTTGAAGGCAGTCAACCGCAAACCAGTGATGGACGCGGTTGAATCACGTGGCCATCACTCACTAAAGAAAAGCGTTAGTTAGAGATTTTTCTCTCTTCTGGAGTGCATAGCTTGTTTCTGGCCGTATCACAGTGCGATAACACGTGTTCGTTCACCATTTCTCCAGAAGACGCAGACCGATGCAAACTCGTTCAATACTTCATTTTCATTGTTCAACATTATTGGACTGAGCTGACTCAGAAACTAGAATAGTTGCGCGAAAAAATCATGCTAGTGGAGTTCACCCGGTGAACAAAAGCAGATGACCGATAGACCTCATTGATTGTAATCAGTTACGTTTGCCCGAGTCTTTAGGCAGTATCCGTTGAACACTGTATCTTCACCGTCTGTATTCCTCATTGATACTAGAAAATATCTATAATTAGGGACCCACGTAGATCTCGCAAACTCCGTATGGTCAGCAGCTCAGAGAACGACCGGAAGTTCTCGTGGATGTCACAAAGTAAGGGGATTAAAATCGCATTCGCAACAGGGAACCGATTCTGTCAACTGTAGGGGCGTCAGTGAAATGACCGTGGAAAAAGGTGGATTCGCTGTTCCCCCATAGAAACATCTTAAGTGGCAGCCTGAACATTTCGAATAACATTCAAGCCCGCCTCCACCAACACATTAATCCCAGTGGAATATTTATACCAACAGTTCATAGGTAACAGAGAATCAGCATTTAATTGCATACCTTAAACATACCAAGGCGCCCCGTTCGGACAGCTTGTATTCAGCACATCTCAAAACCTCGGTAGTGAATCCTAGAGCATACCATATGAAACTACTAACTAGAGAGCATCAATAATAACTGCACTACCCAAAACTTTATGAGCGTAACCTGCGAAAACCAACGTAGCATCAGCCTGGTAGCCGTGTAACTTTGGTTGATTTAGTGAATGTATCCATATCACGCCGGACTTACTTGTTATGTCCTCCGTGAAACAGTGATTACTTGTATACTCCGCATTGTTTTCTTAGGCTCCTTGAGCGAATGCGCCCCAAGTTTCCTGAAGAACTTCTGAACCGGTCGATTTAATGCATTTTACATGTTTTTGGAGCACAGTCAGTGACACGCTTTGTCCGTTGTATGTTCTCTGCATGGTTCATGTTTCTACTGTTTATCATATTTTCTGTATTGTTGTCTCGATGTTCGTCAGAAGTCTCGAGAGGAGACTGGAGATGTGATGACTCAGAGCCTGTAGTGTGAAACGGAAGCGGTGCTACCTGCTCGGGCGATCCTGCTGCTCCATTTCATCACGGCATATCTTACGAATAACATTGGAACACAACGCAGTACAGTCGTCTGTCCGTCTCTCCCAAATTTTCGCAGAGTTCGTTTGTCCAGTGGTTGTGTGCATCGCAGCTTGCTAGTTTTCTAAAGTGATCTGCAGTATCCGTAGGAATAAGTTGATCGCTGGTTCATTAACTCACTAAATCGCACATTACATTCCCCAATCTCACACCCTTATTCGCATCCTTTTGTCGCTGTTGGTCTTTCTCAATAGTTTGGCCTGTCCGCTATTGTATGCGTCACCTGAGGACGCTGCACTAACCATCAGATTGTTCCTCTTATTTTCTAGTTGGCTACACACGTGCCTATGCACACCTGTCTGTGGAACCTCCAAATATGCACCTTGTCTCCGCCGTCACTCTGATGTCCCTGGGTTTCCAACTGTTTGTGAACTATCTATTCCAACTAGGGGCATATTTTTGGATTCGCGCACAACCATGGTAAGTTTTTCACATTAAGCCAACCGAACCTGCCTCACTGCTAAATTCTCCTTGATATACTTCCTAGTCTCTCTCGTTTTCCCAAGACATTCATCCCCATCTCCAGGTGCATTGGTCAATCTTTTGGGGGACCGCCCTCGTGAGTGATTACTCTCAGTTATCCCTTTTAGGTTTCTGACATAATGGACCATTCTTAGCCCGGACCAGGTGGGGGGAGGGCATTTTCGGATAAAGTTTCTCTCAGATCTGCTTGCTTAACTTGCAATCTTGCATCTCTGTTCTCCTCAGGACTGTCGATTGCAAGTGTACCAGACGGTTGTTTGGTGTGGGAAACCAATAAGTTGTTTCGTGTGCTTGTGGGAGCGGCCATTTTTGCGTGTATTGTTTATGGATGAACTTAGAAACCCAAGATACCTTAGTTCGGTCCCTGTTTTCACTGCCGGTGTATTATACAAGGGATTTCAGTTCAGTTAGGAACACTCTTGTGCCCAGCGTGTTCCACAACAGGAGGCTGCCTCTAACCGTGTTCTCTCCCTGGATTTGTGCCAGGTTTACTTTGGTTGCCATTGTTTTCAGTCCACCGATTGCTTTCATTTCTTGGCCTGTCTTGTTGCTTTGTGTCCCGTACACGATTTAATGAGCCGATGTACTTTAATACACACCGTGTTCTTCCCATTGGTTCGTCCATGACGGAACGGTGGTGGTGGTTCTTGTCCATTTTCTAGGACGTCATCTCTGCATTGTTCGCCCTGCTCACAGGTTACCATGAAGAATTTGTTCATTCTCAACGCAACTGGCAAATGGAGAGCGTGAATTAAAGTCACATACCAGAGTAGTCCATACTTTTATCAGTCATTAAACAGCGTAGTACCAGAAGGAGACTGATCAGAATTCGCGGACAGCGTAGAACTGGTTCCACCCTTCTTAAACCTCACGATATAAACGTATTTCCCAAATTCTAGCTGATTCTCTCTCTCCCTTTAAAACACCTGGGCGTGCTCCAGCTGCACCAACACTCGTATCGTTTGATATCGCCTCAATCGCTTTAATGCATTATGTTGGTGGAATCCTCTGATCAGAGCTATCTGGATATGATTCCATCTCCCTACCTGTAACTGCAACTTATCCGTGCTACTAAAGGGAGCGCTCTCGTTCTCTTGGAGTCTCAGAAATATTCGCATCAGTAGAGGGCGTCAGAACACACGCTAGAAAATACACCACAGTTTTGAAGCAATTGGTTTGATTGCCCCAGTCCTAGCAATATGGCACAAATTTTCATATACACCGGTCTGTCCTTTCAGGTTTCCCCCACACATATGACAATTTTTGCGGCCAAGGACGGGTGACTTCTGCCCAGGCTGATGGAAAGGCGGTCAGACGACGCCACAGCCGATCAACTTAGCTTATAAGCGATGTTGGTCGTTCGACCTGCGTTAAGGCTAAAAGAATTTCTTTGACATAAGCGCCGACTTGTATCGTTTCTTCGAATCTACGAGACAAGCACACAAGACTACTGGTAGATGCTTTTTAATTCTGCTCCGCGCTTCTCTTTGGGCATCTGATAGTTGCAGTGTTGTTGGGGTTATGTTGAGTGCGGAAGCCGTGGACTTTTGATTAAGTTCCCTTGAATCGGCTATGTTTTGCATTCACACTTAACAAGTTCGTCTACTACCCTTAAAAATGCCCTTTTTGAAGTCTCCTGAATCGTTGTGGGAAATTTAATGACAATCAGTTCATTTTACCTCGCCCGACGTGAGCTACATGACAGTCTGTAAGACGGGTAGAATACCAAACAGGAAACGAGATGATTCCTAAACCACATTAATTGTGTTTTGGTTTGACCTTTCTTATTGCTAAATCTCTGTGATGATGGTCCAGTAACCGCTTTTTTTTATCCCAACCATACGTAGGTACATCAATCTCTACGAAGTAAGCGACGACTTCGAACTAATGAACTACGAAAGCACCGTTTTGTTCATTATCTCGGCCTACCAATATTCCATTCTGGCAATTGTGTTCTCTAAAGGCGCTCCCTACAGACGCAGTATAGTCTCGAACAGTAAGTATCCTAACTGTCATTGTCCATCCCTTATTGTCTCCCTCAAAATTACGCTGGAATAAAATTATACCTAAATGGTTGTATTTTTGTAGACCTCATATGCCCTTATCCCATCAAGCCCCCATTTTAGTTGGCTAAACCCAAATCGCATAATAATAATAATAGTAATAATAATAATAATAAGCCTATATGGGCAATTCGCCTTTGACTGGAATCCAAATTCTCGGTTTCTAGTTTGTGGCCATTAGAATCCTGGTTAAAGAAAATAAGTTAACGAAGGAGCGGATTCTAACCTGTGTTTGTGCGTAGCGGAAAACCAGTTGCACCGGCAGTGATGAAAATTTGACCAACCCCGAAAAAGTTCACTCTGGATTATACCTGTATCTATCAACTCCGTACGCCTTTGGATTCAGTATTGTTATTTTGACCTTTCATTGCTTTTTTCCTGAACAGCACTATTTATCGTGAACCTCGTCGTTTGTCTGGCAGTCACCATTTATCTGACAACCTATCCGTTCGACCAGCTGTTGGAATTTTTCCAGGTATGTTTATATTGAAAATGAGTTTTGTGCGTTGCTGTCACCACATGAGTAAAAGTACATTTTGACATCATTAGAATGTTTATAATATAGTCAATAAGAGTAACACATAATAGGCCAACCATTGTTTTCAGACTGCCATCATCTGGCAAGTTTGTGTACTATAGAAGGGGAGACATCAAATTACAAACGAATACAAAGTAAGGAGAAAGTTGTTCGATCCCATTCAGGTGCCTGTGTACCTGGGTGCTTGCCCACTGTTGTAATGTTCTTAGTGGGGTTTCTTCCGAGAGTCCATTAGCTCCGTTCTGAACATGTAGCCACTTTATGGCAGGAGAGGTTTTGCTGGCCTTGCCCGTTTGCAGAGACTTGGTGCACGCAGCCTAACACAACTTGATTCATCTCTTTCCCGTCAGATATGCGTACGTGTTTAGACTCCATATAAGACTTTAAAAGCAGTGCTCTTAGCTACCCCAATGACCGGTGTCGATTAGAGTAGCGACGTTGGCGCTTATAAATGATCCAGTGCTGTTATCTGGCCTACGTTTCGGACACTACTCACGGAGGTGAGTGATAAACGGACGAGTCATGCGACCGACGGAACAGTAGACAACCATGAATAAGGACGACACTGCTAGCTTGTCCTTGGGCGACTTTAGGGAAATTCATTCACATAGGCAGTGTGAAAGGCAATCTCGGTAAGACTGTTGGTGTCTCAGCTACGGTTTAACGCCTAAACGGCAGGTTGAGAAACGAGCTTTACATCACAAAGGCTATTTTTGTGGTCCTTTCTCAAGGTTTTTCTCGACAGATCTACCGGAAAAAAAAACATTACCTCGAAGTAGGCTGCTTAAGAAATCTAATCCCTTCTGCAGTTTCAATGGAATATATCTTTCTAGCTCTTGACGCTGGGCATCTAACTAAGCTTCGTTATTTTACGAGTGGAACGAAAGTGGTGAAATTGGTCGAGCGTCCTTCCCGGGTCTTCTGTCTCTGTCATATGCGCAACACTGTCCCATCTGGTAGGTGACGTAGAAGCACATCGAGAGAGAGAGAAGTCGATCATTTTCCTGCTCCACACCAATGAACTTTATACAACGATGAGCGCTATTCGATCTTCCGCAGTTTTTGTCGGGTATACAGAAAACCTAATCTGCAAAGCAGTACTGATTTTCTAAATCACGGACGGATATAGAAATATCAAACAGTAAGGGACCAAGTTGTAGTGCCATAGCCACACCATCTATTTGTCTATAAAGATGGTACTTGAAGGGAAATTCAGCATTCAGTATACACTAGCGCAACGTTTCACGCGACTCGCTTACAAGTACACTATTTTCGAGTTTCGCCCCCCCCCCATCCCCTAATAAAACTGCGAACATCGTCAATGTTTTCTTGACTTTATCAACATATTCAAAGGAGTCCCTTAGACAATGTTTAACCAGACGTTATTTGACTAGGGAAATGGGTACGTCATATTTATGTACTTTGGGAAGTTAACAGAGGACATGCCTACGTGGTAGTTTGATGTTCAGTGTATTCATCTTTCTCATCGGTCACGATATCAAACTCTTCACAATCCGCGACCAGTGTGCACAGTCTATCGACATTATCGTGTCTGTTTAGGATAACAATTCCTGAACCCTTCTCGGGCGAGATCGAACACTCTTTGAGACCTGGTGAAAATTCTTGTTATTGTGAACTATTCCATAACCTGACTTGGGCATAACTTCGCCTGCCAGAAACTACGGTTGTGGATTACTGTCTGTTGGGCATCCTACGTTGTCAATCAAAGTGGGTAACCAGTGCAGGAATCTTCAAAACAGGTCCAGAGAACGAAATTACCGACGCCGCGAATTCTCCCGTAATAGCCGAAAGAGGTCAATCAAACCATTTGGAATAGCGGTGAAACCGGAACTCATCAATCTGGGTCGAAGTCTGTGTTGAAGAAGGTAGCCAACGAGTTGCTGGTTTCACAGTCTTTCTGGTGCGAATACCGTTCGTGAGTCGTCTTTTGACTGCTGCAGAACGGCTCGTCGCAAATAATGTTGGTTTAGTCCAAGATGTGGTCGCCCGCCTCATTCTGTCATTAATTAGTAGCAAATTGCCTATTCTCAACCACGTGCATTCGGATTTTGAATATGCGTAAGACAAGCACCAGACTGTTCTTGCCAGCACTTGTTGTGTCACTAGTAGTGTGGCATCCATCAGTGACCGCTTTCCGCGTTAAATGCTTGGTTTCGGTAGTGACTGGGACTGGTGCCAACACACATCCTACAGCTCATCTAAATTCTTTAATTTTGAACCTATTTTTTACGAGGACTTGTGCGTATGTCCTCAGAGCACCACACCTATCGATGAACCTAGTACACTGAGCTGTAGTCAGTGATGCCGTGCTCACTTCCTTGTCACTATGACACACTTTCGATCGATCCGCTTACTACTCATTCATTGTCATCCTCTGGTTATCTTATGCAGTCATACGTCGCCATCACTTGGGGCCTATTATTCGCTTTAGATACCCTATCCGTAACCTTCACGCCTATCCAAAGAAACTTGTTCCTAATCGTTGATTGTTCAACCCTGAAAGATCGAACTACCACAGAAATCGACTGGCTTGTGATCTGTTCAACGCAGATTTCTTACCACAACGCCGGAATTCTTTTCTCTTACAAATTCACCGGTTGGACACACGTGCAGTTTGATAGCCATGTGGTTCCAATGATCACCAGTTATGTTTTTAGCTTGTCTAGTAAATCGTACGGAACTGGTGGGGCCGTGCTACTTCACCGATTCTCTGCACAGAGATTCGGACGGTGTTTTTATTCGGTTTCGGTCTGCTTTGGCTCTCGCATTATGGTACGCGGGCTTGCTGGCAATAGCACGATATCGTTCTATACAGGTTCAGCAGAAATCCCCCAAGAAATGCTCTAGGTGCTCAAGTCCGGGATACGAACTCCGCACGTATTACCACTTACTGGTCTTGATACCACATGACACTTGGTTCTGTAGATCAAGTCGAGATAAGGTAAGGTATTCAGGCGGTGGACTTCCGGCAGCTCGGTGTAGTGAGTTCTGAATGAAACATATTGCATGCGTACGACTGCTGCATGAAAGATAGGTCATCTAGAGCATACTTATAGTGAAGTCCTTCCGGAAGGTGCTTGCTATCAGGCACCCGGCCTACTAACAACCGAGCAGAATACAGGGTGTCGCAAAACCCGTCCAATGCAACAAAGTGCTTACAAACGTTGGAATTAACCACTTTCTCCCTGGTAAGTCCACAACATTTAGATACAGGTTTAAAGGATTGAACAGAGTTCGAGCAGTATAGCCAAGTGTTCAATCTCTAATTCACCAGCAGTGGCCATTCACAATCAGATGAAGGACGAATCATAGGATGATTCCAGGACGTCGGTTTTGGTCGCCAACACTCACAGCAACATCAGTAGTTAGAAGCTGGTGGTAGTACATTTGGGTAAACAGGCATCAGCCAGAATGGTGCACCAAAAATTAACGAAGTGTCTTCATGTACGCCGAAACGCTCAGGGTGTTTATTGCGCCTCAGTTAAATAACTCGCAGCATCCGGACCGATTTGCACCGCGGACTGTTAATGAAGGCAATCATATCACCATTGCCATTGAGTCTAATTGGTCTGTCATTCATGAAAGTATCATTACCATCCAATCGAACAGCTCCATTATCTAATCTCTATTCGAGCTGGCTTGCGCGGTACGCAGAGCGACCTGGACTGGTCGGAGATTTGGTTCACTAATCAGCGAAAATCACTTAATACAATGGGCATTATTCTAAGTATAGCTATCAGAGCTATTTACCAAACCACACGAGGCGTTCTTCGTTTTACGTGGCATTTTCAGGTCCGTCGTTTAAATTTGTTCCTTACCAGGTTACCGAAACCGAAAAACGTTCTTGTTGTGTGGTAGCAAGCAGGCTTCAGGTTGTAGTATGTCACCTTAAGCATGGCTCTAATGTGTACATTGAACTCCGTTCAACAATTTATGTGAAATTTTACCTAGGAACGCTTACAGCACGGTCAGTTTTAAATGAACCGCGGTTGTCCGGTATTATTGTGAGCTGGGTTCAGCCTCCACACGTTCTGTTGCCATTCGCACTGATGATGCATCATCAAGGAACGAAACGTCTACTACTGAACAGTTAGTTTGCCAACGCGAGCCGCAAGCTCTTCGACAGACTGAAAGAGATCATGTATTCTTCCGTCTTCTTAACTCTTGCAATCTTTATTTTGTATCGCTTCAGATGATTCGTATACCTTCCGTCATATTCCTGTTGATTGTTCACTCTGCGGCGCTGGCTAACTTCATGGCTTGCTATTTGCTGGAAACATTCGTCGATGGGGTATCATTCCGACGCCGCCTGTTACACATTCGTCGGGCCCTGTTTCCGAGGTTTGTCCATTCAGCTCTTTGGTTTTCTAGATCTAACCAATATTCTGATTTGCTGGAAGACTCTCATTGTTGTTGAAAAAAGGAAGCCAGAGGAGCACGTGTACCCCATTGTCCCTTTCCTGACCGTTATAGATACACACGTAATAAAGGTGAACTAATAGGAATAAAGTAGAAAAGAGATGCGGGGCAAACGTTACGGAACGCGGCAGACTGTATGCATTATGCGAATTATTGCATGCTACGTATCATCACACAGCAGGAGAACAACAACTGAATAAGCCAGTGTAGTTAGACGCATTTGGAACATTTCCTTTAGGCACAATTTTCGGGTATGAGGATGCGGAGACCGATAACGTCACTATTTGTGGGGTTGCTTATTCTGACCACTAGGGGCCGGTCTGTTGATACACGATCCGAGTTGCAGTTTTCAAATTGTGGATATGCCCCTTGTCGATTACTTACTTACGTAGGATCCTGGAGTTGGGCCTCTCCTTCAGGATTGACCATTCCGAGCAGTGTTGTCTGCTTCGCTTGAATAAACACTGGATCGTCCGACCTGTGTGAGTGGTATCATATGCCCACCTAGATTGGTTATCAGTTATAGACAATCCTTGTCGACAGACGTAGCAGAAGTGAATTTGAGACGATGTATCGAAGTTTGGTAGCACCGAACGTGAATTATACAACTGATGAACCGATGGCTCCATTCAATGCATAAAAACCTTTGTGTCTACTTCCAAGGGCCGCATTGTCCCCCCCATAAATTATGCTCGAAGCAAGTTTGTTGGATCCATCTGACCTAAACAGACTGATATTGTATCCATATCCCGCAATGGCCTTTTCTGTTCTGCTGTTGCACAAACACCGAACAAGTCATAAATTTACTCGCATTGACCTCTCACATTTACTCAGAGTTGGATCCTTTTACTCCTTTCAACATTGCCAAGTGTTTTCATTACGTTTATCTGCATATTCAGAATGCTCAGCTCTCCTGTAGGTGGTTTGTATTCAGCTCATCTTGAGCAACGACCACTTATAGGTACATTTTAGGTGCAGCCCAAAGATAGCGTACTCGCTGATGCACTCTTAAGTGCTCTAAGTTGAGGAAGAAGGCGAAATTCCAAGGACAGATTTCCATCGTAACCGTTTTGATCAGTAGCTCATTTCGGGCATCGATCCATTTCTCCAGCATTTCAAGGTCTACTTCCTCATTCCAGACTTTTGAGTTTGGTTGGTCATTTCAATCGTTCAAGCATTTAGCACGCAGCTTTCTTATCTCGTTTGTTTCCCGACTCCAGGCGCGTGGAAAGGAAGGATTATGAACGAATTCGAGAGGAAATTGATCGTATGGCTGGATCTTGGCCTCCAATAATACGTTCTGCTAGTGTCCAGGCCCTACCACGTGAATTGTTCAATGAGGGCGATGCTGTTTCATCAGCTCACTTGGAGCGCCGCAAACTAACGACTTCTGGTTTTTCCTCGGACAGTGAAGATGAAGCGGTTTCACCAGGGCCGACCCTCTTGTCTGCACCCGGTCCTCAAGTCCACCGGGTGGAAGTCAGTAAAACAGTGAACAATGCGAATATCACCATGATTGACTCCAGACCACGGAGACAACCCATCACTGCTGCTGTAAGCTTGCATATGCTCTATTACTGCATGACATTTATGTATTTTCCACTTTGATTCTTCTCTTCTAGAAAGGCGATACCACAAACCACTCGCGTGCGATTCCGAATCAACTCACTACAGCTTTCAAGTCATGTGTCTGATTTCCTATCCTCCGTTGTTTGCTCGCAAATGTCCTTAGGTCGTATTCCCGGTCTCATGCGGAAATCAACTAATTTTCCACATTATCCAGATTAAATTATACGACAGCATTAGGTTCATTCCGAACCAGTCCCACTGTTGTTACGGAGAGGTTAGATCGTCTATGTCTCTGTCGTGGTATAAGTGGCCGGCCGGGTGTATTTTGCCTGTCAGTGGTGCAATATCCGATCATGTTCCTTCAAGATATGTGGTTTTCTTGATGACTAGTGTACTCGTATATGACGTTCTTGGTGGTTTAGTATGAACTGCTCCGCTCCCTGAGAATATCTATGACCATAAACCAATGGTTACCCAAGGGGCGAGATGACTCACTGGTTAGAGCTGATAGGAAAGTCCGCCGTTCAAACCCGACCTCTGTATCTCGAGTTCTCCTGTCTAGGTTTGTGCAACCTAGCAGTATTCCAGCCCTCGTCCTTCCTTCCTTCGGGTGGCATGGCAGCCAGGCACCGGAATTGTGTTACAGCTAAACGTTACCTTATCTTTTCTCATATTGGTTACCCACGCCACACAACATTCCGTAGTGTTCGCAACCCATCCCTAATGATGAATGACTGAAAACATTTACGCAAGCATTCATCATGGTAGTACTCATTTTGTTCCACCTTTGTGGCACATGACTCTTCGCCTACAACGCACATGTATCTACCATTGATTAGAATTGTCTCCAATTCTCCTACCATTGCGCATTTTCCGTCACCGACCTTTTAGGAAGGACACCTTTCACTGAATTTTCGTTTACGTGTATCCAAACAATATTTCTAAGTTATCATGATCAACTCCTCGTTCTTCGTCATGATGGAGATCCCATTTCCGTATACAGACAGACTGAATTCTCCAAACACCTTGGAGAACAGCCTCCAGTCCAGCTCCTTGCGCGACTTTGAAACGTGTCATCCTGTTTCTGACATTTACATTATTAGGCATTACATTAAGCATTTTCTGCTTACCTCATATCCGCTCTGAATTCCAGAATATGTTCCGCGTACTTTGATGAATGTCACCGTCAACTAACGTAAACAAAGCTCAGTGTGTCAATGTCTGACTCATCTTGTGCATTCCTCATTGAGTGAAGTCTCCACCGGTATGCGTAGGTAACCAAGCCATTAAATCTCACACTCAAGAGTACTGCTAGTGAGTGCGTTCTCTTCACTCATCTACCTCAATCGTTTACTGACTCCATTTCTAGTCGCGACAAGCTTGACTCTGGTAACAGTGTTGCTCGAAATCCGCTTCGTGCATTCCACAGTGTGAAATTAGCGAATTCCTATATTGAGAAATTCCCAACGTGCATATATGTCACACGAAAAAACTGCTAACACGAGAAATGTGTCATCATTGTTTCTGTGAACTGGATTTGATGTCGCACGGCCAAACAGTACTGTACAGTCGGTTCATTTCGCTCATCCTCGGGGTTAGCTTGAACTGGTCAAGCTTGATTGAGAAGCTACAGGTGGTTATTTATCGACCCCTACGCACACTTTGAAGACAGTCCCTTCACAACGATGCTGGGGTATTACTTATTCGTATTATCCATTTCTGTTAGTGGGGGTTCACCGTCTGTTTTCTTGTTCGAATATTTCCATCTCTGTAACACAACACACATATTCGCCCTTAGTCGAACTGCTGATCGCTTTCAGCTTGCCAAGCACCTCGAGGGCGTAAGTATGAAGCACGTGCTTGTTTCTTGTCATTTAACCCTGTTTTTGTCTGGTTCTTTATGAGCTCCCTGACCCAAGGTTACCCTGCCAGTTTTGGAATGCGTTACTTCCCCATTCCCAGATTCGAAATCAACCTGTGAGAAGTTACAGATGCGTATGTTTCACGGTGCCCGTTGCATATGAACTCTGTGCAGTTAAATTCATCGTTCTTGCAAATTTCTATTTTTAAACTTTTCTCACCGTATGACAGTTCTTCCCTTTTTTGTGCACTCGACAGCGATCGCGACGTCGCCACTCAGCGGGTGAATTGCGCTTAGACTCTCAACCCTCCAGAACGTCCGATTCTACAGTGGTGCACTTTGACAGCCCAGACGATGATGATGTTTTTGAATACCCACCAAAGGAATCCCGTCACGGTACCCAACAACCTTGGTTACGCAATGTCCGCAGACGTTCCAAAAGTTCAGGACCAACGTCAGAAGGCTTTTCCGTCACATTTGTTTCTCCCACTTCTGATTCTATATTCGTGGAGCCAGGAGGGTCGTACAACCGTGTGTAAACCTCTGCAACTATGGTGCTGCGGATTCTTCTGCTACCGCACGGAGCTGGCAATTTCACGTTTGTTTGTTTGACCAACTTCAATACCACAGATCTCAGAAACCTAATCATATTTCTGGTTACTGTTTAAAACCGTAGGTTACACGAGGAGACTTTCTCACATTGTTTTTCCTCATGAAAGTTGGACGCAACTGAAGAAGCGGTTATTTCCTACCTAAATGAATTCACCCTCTCGCAGTTCCTTCTGTAGGAATTCTTATTGGTCCTTTCTCATCCTATCGTACTTTCTATGAATTTCAATGTAACTTTAAGGCTAGTGATCATTTGAACGCCAAGCTTTCTGCAGAAACTTCTCCACAGAATCTGTTAATTAGACAATGGGCCCCTTCACCTCTTCCACTGTTCGTTTCCAATCGGTCCATGTAGGTTCGGTGTTCCACGGAACATTCTGTTGCACCCTCACCTCCCTGACAATTTGTACTTCTGTGCAAGCCATGCTAAGAATCGATTGCGTTATCTGTTCAGACTTATGATCAAACTGCAACTTACATTTACGACTCATGTTCTGTCCCATTAACCCGGCTAACAGTGCCGTCTGAATGCAGTGAGGCCTTCAGTAACAAACACCCTATTATTGGATCGAGATTTTCAGTTGCAGGGCATTCCTTTCACGTTATTTTTGCGAAGATGTGAGCGAATACCTCAGATAGCCTACCTTATACTCTAAATTGCGAGTGCCAACGGCTTAGGAGATTTGTGAAACAAGAAGACTCTTCGAACTACTGTTTTGTCGCTGTGCTGTTGTCAGTGGTGTACTCAGGTTTCATCATCATCATCAAAGACAGCGACATCACAGTGGTGTAGTTTCATCATCATCATCAAAGACAGCGACATCAGTGTCGGCACTGATGCTTCATTGCCGTACAACCATAAAGTTCGTTTAGTTTAGTATATATATAATTATATTAATTATATTAAAAGCCCTAGAGTGAAAAGAAGAGAAAAAGAGCGGGTGAGGGAGGGGACCTAGTGCTGGCGTATGTCAAACATTCTGAGATGCCTACACCTCCAACAGCTCAGTCAGACAATATGGAAAGATACTGACAACACAAACGCCACTGACATCGATTAGCCGCCATTTCTGGCAACGTTTCCAGCAGGCATAAACGGGGTCACGGGGACCCCATCCTGGAAGGCGTACAACATCAACAACACCCAAACTCTTCGTGATCTCTTTCACGCCTTTCTGCCAAGTCATGTGCTGTCCACCTCACGGTTTGCGCCATCCTGAAGGAGGCACGGAGAACAACATTCGTCTCGGTAGACGGTGCTTCGGCATGCGTAACACAACCGAGTCATGGTAGTCGGTGCTGGATGTTTTCCCCGACTGAAGTACATGCAGCACAACCAAATACCCGTTTTCCAATCACCTCATCACTAACACGCTGACGCCATCCAAAACCATCCACGCTTCCGAGGCATCGGTGGTCGAAA